AAGACAAGATAAGATAAGATACAGTATGATAAGATAAAATAGAACTTTAATGATCCTGCAGGAAATTGTTGTGCCAGAGTTTCAGTACAAAGGAATTTACACAAGATGTAAAAATAACAGAATATAAAAATACCACCGTGCGACCAACAGCGAGCCTGCGGGGGCAACGGCCCCTTGATACATTTGCAAGACTCCTTACCCCTGTTCCTCATGGCCAAAGGTCTTAAATGAATAATCTGTCTGTTAGCTAAATACCTCAAACTTTCAGAAAGTTATGTTTCAAAGTTCAACTGATTTTGGCATCAACCAGAGCCACAGCTAATTATCGTTAACAAACAGAAAGTTTTGTCCACAGATGTCTGTTATGAAGTGTTATAACGAGTCATAAAAGCCTCACACAGTTAGGAAACATTTGTTGTATATAATTTTACTGCTAGAGTGAGAGTAAACACTGAAATATAAAATGGGGGATAAAGTAATTGTTTTTCAGTGTTGGAGAAATCAATGAAGAAATGATACTAGAAAGGTTGATGCAATTTTTTTTGTCTTAACAAGACCTTAGAAAGATAACTTTACTAATTGGCATTTATAATGTATGTGAATGTTTCTGTTCAGTGCCCTGAGATAATATCTGTGACTTGGTGATAAAGAAACTGAATTGAATTGAATGTGTTGTGTTGTAGGAGCAAAAAAGGAGGAGTAAGAAGAAGAAGACCCTGTAAGAGAGGACACTTCCGAACAAGCAGCAAAACCTACAAATGACAGCCAAGATGGAAACCCTTGATCCCTCAGCTTTGGCTGATGCTTCCTCATCTGTCTCTTTCCATTGTAAACCTGAGACAGTCATCTTACCGAGGGGAGTCGTCTCCGTGGCAGGCATCACTGTGGTGACTGGGGGTGTGGAACTCTCCTGTGGATCCTGCATGCTGGCCTTTGGGTTTTGGGGCTCTCTCATCGGCTTCAGCTGCGTAGCCGTGGGACTGTGGGACCAGCTGACGCATGATAAAACAGGCACCTCTCACTTGCTGGGACTTGGATTCGTGATTCTGGCTCTCAGTTTTCTGGTGGTGGCCGGCGTGGCTGTGTTTTACATCCTGACGAAGAAAAAGAGGAAGATCACACAAGAAGATAGAGAGGATGGAAAACATGTGCTTGTTGAGGATGGGACAGTGGTTAAAAAAGTCACAGTGTAAAAGAGCATTAATTGCAGCATTTTAAAGAAACTGGCCCAATAAAAAGCTGAACAGAATAATGTTCAGATTGTTGTGTATTTAAACCATGTAAACAGGACATTCTGATCCTGTTTGGATCATTTTAAGAAATCATCACTTAGTAACAACAGCCTTCCAGTTTTTCTTTAATTTTTTAATTGATTTAATGTAGAAATGTAGTTCTGTTTTACAATTTTAAATGTATTTTCATTTTTTTAACATTTATTTACATCTTGTAACTTGTAACTTTAGTCATTTTTTAACAAATAAAATGCAGATGATTCATCATGTATGATATGGTGTGTCATAATGTGTTGTGGTGGTTGTAGAATTGCGCCACTCAGGGTGGCTGCATGTTGGAGCAGCTCTGTTACATTCATTCTGAGATGTTGCTTTTGGAAACTTTAATTCCTGCTTTTCTGGATGTAAATTACTTTATTTGGATGATTGTTTCCTCTGGTATCAGATGCTGTGCAGCTGGAAGGATTTTTAATTAAACTTTTTTACTTTTGGACATTTGTTATGATGCGTAACCATGGCAACAAGGTGTTTTGTTTACAACCGGGAACAGCTAATTAACATCTCAAAAGCTCAAATAATATCTCAGCTACAGCCCCAAATCTTAAATGTGTTGAAAAGGAGGTCCGTGGATGCATTCCCGTCTACCTGCCGGCTGTGCTCGAGTGCCTGACGACTGAGATCATAAGGAGATCCTGGAACTAGCAGGAAACACAGCTCGTGACAGCAGAAGGACCGGGATTGTCCCCCGGCACCTGCAGCTGGCTGTCTGCAGCAACGAGGAGCTTGGCGGGCTGCTGGGAGGAGTGGCCATCATTCTGGGAGGAGTTCTGCCCGGCATTCAGGCAGTCCTGCAGACAGGGGGGAACTGAGAGTCCAGCCGAGTCCGGGTGGACGGATCGAACGGCATCTGCGGCCAGTTTCTTTGGCTCCACTGTGGGACAGACCTTTACAAGAAATCCTTCCTGCCTACAGCCATCAGTATCTATAACATTTCTTAATGAAACAAGGATAATGAGTTACAACAACATTTAATTTCCCTTTGAGATTAATAAAGCATTATTGAATTGAACTAATAAATTATTTTTAAGAACTTAAAGCAGTATTATTCTGGTATTTCAAAATAATATGCTTTATAGGCACCACATAATATAGTGGGTCTACAGTATATAACAAACTAATGTTACTTTATTTCATTTTTTTTATAAATTAAATCCAGCATATTGTACTCCAGTAAGTTTGTTAAAAACATACCTAAATATGTAAAAATGTAGCTCATGTAATGTTAATAAATTAATTCTAAAATGTGTTTGCTTAATTATTTTCCTTCAGAGCGTACACAGACTCACACACACATTTGTTCCAGAAACAAAGATTAACTAATGAAGTTACAGTTTTGAAGGTTTCAAACAGGCTGACACGAGAAAACTTAAAGATTTTATTGAAACAAAACTAAAATTATCTATTGTGGCAACAAAACATACATAAATAACAGTGCTTACTTTGTTAACAAAGTCCATGCTCAATAATCCAGGTATACAATCCAACATTTTTCAGGCAGGTAACTGTCCAGATGACCTGCCTGAAAAATGCTGGAGTGCTTACTTTGCTATCCCCCAAATAGGGGGGATCACATACAGTATATGGAGCAGGACTGCCACCTAAGGCGGTAAGGGAGGTGGCCTTTCTCACCCTGATTTTATGCACTGGTTGGGAAATTTGAACCGGTGACCTTCCAATCACAGGCTTGCTTTCTCTAACCTCTGCGCTACCACTGCCCCCCCCAAAAAATGTGGGTGAAACACAAGGAGGCACGAACGTGGCATGAAAGCCCAACAATGCCAGACTCAAGTGTGAGGTGAGGAACTATAAAGACTTGGACTGATGAGATTAGCTACAGCTGTGACTAACAGACCTTACAGATGCTAACGCACATGCCCCAATACATTCATAGTTACATCTGGTACAAGGTTCAACTCTGGTATTTTGGTCCTTTACACCTGCATTTTTGTTGACTTTTAGAAACAATTGAATGTATAAATCAGTTTTATTGGTATTTTAAGTTGTGAGAGCAAAAAGTCCAGAGCGTGCATGTTGCCAGATGTTGGTATGTCTGCAGAGCACAGTTGAGACATAGGTATGAACCCTGTTTATTGTTTTTCTTTTACATTTTATCGTTGGATGCAACTGGGACCCTGTGTACATAATCTCGTTCCACCACATGTATCACATGACATACGAATGACAAATAAATCTCTCTCTGAAATGGGATTTGACACAAAGTGTTAACATATTTTTAAACGTTAGTTAATTTTAAATCAAGCCAACCATTTCAAGTCAATTCAATTCAATTCAAAAATACTTTATTAATCCCAAAGGGAAATTATTTGTTGTTGTAACTCGTGATCCTCATTTCATTAAAAGATGTTATAGATGCTGATGGCTGTAGGCAGGAAGGATCTCTTTTAAAGATCCATCCCACAGTGGATCCTAAGAAACTGGCTGCAGATGCCGTCCAATCCGTCCACCCAGACTCAGCTGGCCTCTCGGTTCCCCCAGGCTGTAGGATCGCCTGAATGGCGGGCAGAACTCCTCCCAGAGCGATGGCCACTCCTCCCAGGAGTCTGCCGAGCTCCTCGTCGCTGCGGACATCCAACTGTAGGTGCCGAGGGACGATTCTGTCCTTCCGCTGTCATGAGCCGTGTTTCCTGCTAGTTCCAGGATCTCAGTGGTCAGGCACTTGAGCACAGCTGGCAGGTAGATGAGAATGCATCCAAAAAACATCCTTTCAACTTATTTGAGTTTTGGGGCTGTAGTTGAGATATTATTTCAGCTTTTGAGATGTTAATCAGCTGCTGTTGGTTGTAGAAAACTGCCTCGTTGCCATGGTTACGCAACATAACAAATGTCCAAAACTAAAAAAGTTTCAGCAAAAATCCTTTCAGCTGCACAGCGTCCGATACCAGAGGAAACAATCATCCAAAAAAAAAGTGATTTACATCCAGAAAAAGAGGAATTAAAGTTTCCAAAAGCAAAATCTCAGAATGAAAGAAACAGAGCTGCTCCAACATGCAGCCACCTTGAGCAGCGCATTTCTAGAACTAGAAAATTTAGTCAAATTTAAAGAACAGTCGAATGATGCAAAACATGTTCTTACCCTGTGTTGTTGCAATGCAAAAAGAAATCATTAAAATAGAGCTGGAAAAGCAGAAGTAACAGAAACTTTACATGAAGGTGTGAAAAAGGACAGGAAATGAGCGTGTTGGTGACACCATCTGCTGGATAAAAAAACCATCAGCATCTTAATTTACAGTAAAAATGTTTCCTCACTCCCTATGCTACAATAACAATTTTATGCAGATTTTTCTCTACTTTTGTGTAATAAAGAATCTTTTATACAGCAACCTCGACAAAATGTAGTTTTATTCTAATGAATAACCTCTTCAGCACAATGCAAACGCAGTCAGATTTATAATGCTTCCCTAGTCATTGAAACAAACTCACTAGTTCTCCGGTATGTGAGACGTTTCAACAGGTTTAACACCGGATCACCTGACAACACGCTATAACTCTCCTGTGTCACGTGGCATCGTTCTAGTTTCAGGAAACACTTTTTTTCCCCTTCTGAAAACAAAACTACACAAGTCCCGCCCACTCACCAATCTGATTGGCTACAACGCATAAGGGCCTGGCTTTGATTGGACAATCGGGAGACAAGTTTGCGCACGTCAAAAATTAAACAACTCCTTAAACTGGTTTGTGTGTAACTGAGGTCGTCCGCGAGGAAAATGTAGCTAAAATTGTTCCGTACTGAAATTAATGTGGAAATGGAGTAATACCTTGAAGGTGAGTGTGTTGAACGCAGCAGAATTGTTATTGTAGCGACACGGCTCGGCTTTTCTGCTTGTCACAACTTTGTTAAAAGGGAAAAAAAAGCTGCTGTCGACGGTGTTCAAGGTGTCCACTGTCACCCGCGTTACTTATTTATGTAGAACAGTCTTCGTGCTATTTTATGCTAACCCAAGCTAATAACGCAATCGTTGGATACAACCTGTTGCTAAAATAGGCTGCCATGTTTGTGGGATTTACCATATGATATCTATGGATTTACCTGTCTAAATAAAGGTTAAATGAATGTTTGTGTTTAAAAATCGTGTTTTTTTTGGGCACGCCTCAGTAATTTTGTGCAACATAATCAATAATAATGACACTGTCTTTAGAAATATGTTTATAAAAATTAATCCTGAGCTGCAGAAAGCGACTAATTTATCATCAAACCTGACATGCTTCTTTTATTTATAATTTTGAGCTAAAAGCCTCAGGAAATACTTAAAGTATCAGTTCCTATATTTATTCTTGTAGCTACATTTTCCATGTTAATGAGTTACTTGTTTGCTTTTTTTGATAGCACATCATTATGTGTTTTATTTAGAGATAAACTTGGCTTGTAAGAACTGCTCACATGATATTTGGAAATATTAAGATATTGTTTGGTATATGTCACTGCATGTTTTTAAGTCTTGGTTACTGTTTTTAAGTCTTGTTTAAAAAACCCACTTATTCCCAGGCTTTCGACCCTGGATTGTAATTTTTCTGTATTTTATCATTTTAATTTAGTCATTTAGTTTCTTATCTTTACCTCTGTGGATCGATGTATTTTATGCTGTGTTCTTTGCTCGTTTGTTTTGCTGTGCATCAATTTGGTTGGCCTCGTTGCTGTTTTTAAGTGCTTTATAAATAAAGTGGTATGGTATATAATTTAACAAGACGAAAAACAATCATTTAATTTGACAAAATCCAGAAATTAAGAGCTAGACCGATATTTTATTTTTCATTTTTATTGGCCATTTAAAAAAAAAATTGGTGATCAGCTTTGTTTACTGAGAATGTTCTTCTATATATCTAAAAAAGTTAAATCTGGTCCTCTGGACATTCAAAAAAACAAAACAAAGCAAATCAACAAAAAAATGTAGAAACGTTTCGTCTCTCATCCGAGAGACTTCCTCAGTCTGAGGAGCTGTTTTCAGCTCAGTCTCTTAAATAGCACCGTCTCAGAGTGGATCAACCAGTTTGCTGCTGACAACCAAAACCAGCTGATCACATGCTCAAGAAGGACCATCAGCCTAACAATGGGTCATTAGCACACTGATGGCTGTTTACTGTTCACAGAGGGCTGAGTGATACTAGCAATCACAGCATTGTAAGAGGGGGACAGTTGAACCCGGAGGCCTCCACCCCTGTTTAACGATGGACGATTTCTTTTCACAAAGATGGCCTCCTTTACTCTTCTCTCAAACCATCGTTCCTCTCTGTCCAGGATGTGTTCTTCTATATACTGTTTTTAAGTCATATTTTGACTAAATTTGTTACATATACGTTATTTAACTTGAAATATTGCTGATATATTTTGTCAAACAAATAAAATAAATACTGCTCTGAAACAACATTTGAAAAGATTTGTGTTGTAAGTCCGCCATTGCCCCTGATTTCTACAGAAATCGGTCATAGACAAACTTGCATCGGTCGACTTCTACCTAAAATGTTGAGATTCTCCACGTCAGCCATGGTGCTGCAGTAGCTCGGTGGTCAGTGCCACGGTCTCATAATCCTGAGGCTGCAAGTTTGAGTCCAGGTTGCATCAGGTGTAAAACAATTAGCAGATCTTTCAGAGTTTGCTCAAGGTGGCAAGTCCTGCAGAGGGAGCAGCTGATAGAAAACAACGGCCATGTAAAGCAAGCAAGAAAGAAGTCAACGTTTTTAGTAGTTATTTAGCTACTAAAATAAGTTTCATTTTTCCCTTAAACCATCTAAAAGACTTGTTCAAGGCCAAACTTGTTGCTGACTGAAAAGTGGAAATCCCTCCAGCTATGCATGTGTGACTGAGTATTATCTAAATCATGTGTTTGCATTTGTTCGCAAGCCTGAACATCAAAAGGTTTCCCCTCTTTTAATCCCTTCTCTGTAAAACCCTAAATTTTGAACGTCATCTTTGCTTAGCGGATAAGTCGTCTGACTAACCATGCAGCCACACAAAGTGTGTTATAATGCGACAAGTTGTCCTTGTACAGTTAAACCTCAATGTTGTCTAGATGAGAATGATTATCACGGACTTTCTTTGGGTTTCTGTTTTTCAGAATGGGCTCTAGAACACCTCCAGACAACTTCACCACGCAGAAACAACTTGCTGAGAGGTTGCTGCACTCGTCAGTTACCAAAGGGGGATAAGGATGGGTGGTGCGGGTGTTGGCAAAAATGTTAGAGAGCTAGCCGAACGAGTTGTTTTAGTTTCTGAGGAAGTATAGACATCTGCTTGTCTCACAGATTTAGAAGATTTTTTTTGTGTGAGTCTAGGGGATTATTTTTTTTTTTACGTTAAGTATAGAGAATTGAAATAGCTTAATGATGGACTGCAGCGAGAAGGTGCTGTGTGGAACAGGAGAGGTGGATCTGGACCCCAACATTGTGAGTGAGGAGGCAGGAAAATTGTATTCAGAGCTGCAGGTAAGACCTTGTTGTTTTCTGTTTTGATCTTGATCAACAAGAATAAAAAATAGTGTTTCCATTTGGCTAAACATCTTGTATCCTCTCTGGTGCTTTATCCTGCTGAAGACTGTCATTGAAACCCATGGGGAGGGTGTGGTGGAGTCCCTGGTGCCCATATTTGTGTGGGTCCTGGAGGGTCTGGCCTCCTGCAAAGCCCAGCTGAGAGAGAAAGAAGATGAGGCGGAAAGGGAGAAAGGTGAGCGAGAGGAGCTGCTGGAGAGGTACCAAGCAGAGAAAGCACTGAGGAAAGAGAGTCAGGAGGTGAGAAACGATGGCAGGTTCTGGTTTGATGTGGTGTTTTACCAGTTTTACATAGTTTAAACCAGTGTTAAACCTTTGTTTCCTGCAGAAGTACCTGGAGCTGGATGACCAAACAGAACAAGAACGAAGAGCCATGAGGGGGAGGGAAAAGGAGCGAGAGTGGAGAGAGAGACAGCTGGAGAAGAAAGCTAGAGAGCAAGCTGACCAGCGTGAGTTTTTCAGCACTACATTCACTGAAACTCGTCAAAACTTGTTTTTAATTTAGTTTTTGGTTCCGGTGAATTTTAGTTTTTATTGTGCACTTCATAAGAAGGTTGCTGAAGAATACTGTATCGTCTGTAAAGTTTTACTGAGATTCAGACGTCAGCTATTTAATGTCCATCTTTTCTCGCAGTGGTGGCCTTGGAGGAGCAAAAAGCAAATCTGAGCAGAGAGCTGAGTACACTGAGACACACTCACAACAAGGTTAGATACGTCTGCAGCCCAAACACTTCAAATTCAACCTGCAGTTTTCATCCATCCATCAGAGATGTGAATTTAATCTCTTTAAGTGACTTAAAGGATCACCTTTTATTTTTCTGGTAAAGAGAACAGGTTGTCACAGAACTCGAAAGATCATTTGAGGCTCAAGTGTGCCTCCCGAGTGATTTTTGATTTCAGCAGCTTTATATGCAAATAAACTTTGAGTTGATAAACGCTGTTCTGCACAACTTCGTGGTGAGATGAAACAAGGATTGAATTGCATGAGACCATTCTAAGTACAATAGAAATGACGAGTGCTATAATAGTAGTCAAGTCAGATTTATTTATATAGCACATTTAAAATGGAAACTGTTACCCAAGTCATAGTAATATACAGTAATATACAGCTCTGAGTACGTTTTGCTTGAAACTGCTAGATGGCAGAATTTAACGAGGAAGAAATTAGCAGCACTTCAAACCATCTAACATTTTGGAACATGGATAAAACTGATCATGATGTAAACAACACACCCCAAATCTACATGAAAGCAGATTTTTGAGAAAAGAAATGACACTATCTGACATTTACTTTATCAGAAATGTGTACGCTGAGTTTAAAAAGCTGGTCATAGAAACCAGCAATTAAAGATAAATTAAATGTTGCAAATTTCCTAAATTAAACCAGATGTTTGTTTCAAGGACATGAAAAATCTGAAGGGCTGCAAGCTGCTGACCATTTCTAAGATTTGGTAAATTAGGGTGTGTTTTATCTTAACAAAATAATTATTTTGTATTTTTAAATGCATAATTAATCATTCTGGAAATTTACAAGTAAAACACGTCTTTTCCTTGAAAATAGCTGCTGGATGATTAAACAAAACCCGCCATTAACAAAGAAGTAGTTTCACAAAGTTCCTTGTGTTAAATATTTTTGTGTCACATGTTTGAGTGGATTCTGGGTTTTTGTCCCCCTTTACGGAGCGGAAAGGGAGAGTTGAAAATGTCCATCTGTCCGTTTGTTTGTCCTTCTGTCCATAATTGTTGTGAGCGCGATAACTTTGAAAAATAAAAAAGGTACCAGCTTCTGTTTTGGCGTGTGGTTACCTCTAGGCGTAAGAAATTTCTGTTTCTAATATTGGGTTGGCAGGTAAAAATCCAAGATGGCCACTGCTTGATTGAAGCCACTAGCTTGACGCTCTGAGGTGTCTCCGCATCTTTAACACCATGCAGAAAAACATCCACGGAGTCCTTAGTGAAGTCCTGCACTTTACTTCTGTTGCAAAATCAAAACTTGTACAAAATTAAAAAAAAAAAAAAGGAGCAAGAGAGACATAAAGTCAAAGTCAGAGTCAAGAGTTTCTTTATTGTCATTCGCACCTCATGTGGTACATGTGGTGGAGCAAAATTATGTACACAGGGTCCCAGTTACTTCCAACAATAAAATGTATAATAAAAACAGTAATAACATCTAAGATATGAACTAAGAAAAACATCAACTAAATATACACTAAGCACTCATAACACAAAAACATTATGTCAAACATCGGCACAAACATGAACATGAGTCTGTGAGCAAATGAGCACGCATGAACACATCAACATTGAAACAGATCAGCAGCAACATGAAACAGATCAGCAGCAGCATGAAACAGATCAGCAGCAGCATGAAATAGATCAGCAGCAACATGATGTGGTTTTTCACAGTGATTTTTCGGGTTAGATATTCATGAGTCTAACAGCCTCAGGGTAGAAGCTGTTCCTCAGTCTAGTGGTTCTACACTTAATGCTCCTCAACCTCCTTCCTGAGGGGAGTAGGGCAAAAAGTGTGTGTGCTGGGTGAGTGGGGTCCTTCATGATGCAGGTGGCCCTCTTCCTGCATCTAGAGGTGTAGATGTCTGTGATGGTGGAGAGACTGACTCCGACAGTCTTCTGTGCAGCCTTCACCAGGGAGAGGTAAAAAAAACTGTGTGGCTCCACTCTGCACCACCTGGCTGCAGACAGCCTGCCAATAAACCACACCCACCCCAATACAGGTATTCATCAAAACACCTAATTTTACGCTGCTAGAAAATAATATAACTCAAAATCTCTAATAAATCTTACATTTCAATTACTTTATTATTACAAAAATAAACTAAATGTCACACTTATACCTTTTATCATTTCAAATAAATCTCAGTGTATCACCTATGATCTCAAAACTATATTTGTTAATCATTATAAACTGCATTTAGACTCCAACAATAAGTAAACCCTGTGAGCTGAATAACTTGGAAAAATGAGCTACAGGGCAACTTTCTTTGTTTTGTGTGTGGCTGCATCAAAACGTAAGAAAGGTTCCTTTTGAAAATTGGGTTGCCACATCAAAATCCAAGATGGCCACGTGTGGCCTCGTGAACCCACCACCCCTATCATTCGAGGAACTTGTGTTTTCTAGTTTTTGTGTTGCTTTAAAGCATACCAGTAGTTTCCTCAAACGATTGGGGTGGCTGATAAAACGCTCCCTCCACTCACCTGGATCTGCCAGTCTGCGCCGCCTCAGACAAAAAAAGTTAACAAACCACCTACATTGGAACTCCTACCTGCTTGAATATCTTGCACGAAAAACATTTAGGTTTGCGTTCCGTGTTCAGTTAATTTAAAGAAAAACACTGATCTTGTAAACTACAAACGTTCACTACTCCAATCGTTCAGCGACGGGACATCGGCGTACCGCTTGTTTAAACTAGAAACTGGTGAGTAGGGCAGTCCAACGACGAAACCAAAAGTTGAAATTAGCCAAAACGGTTGATGTTAACTGTAAACCTACTGTATGTAAACTTCTGTTTGTTCTTTTACCCACTTTAAGACAGTTAAGCCCTGACACCTTATTTTGTATTCTCTCGCATGTCCTCACCTTCAGCTGAATCACTTGTATCGGGAGCTTCTGGAAAAGAGGAAGGATTCAGAAAGGGAATCTCCTTTGAGGTGAGCTACAGCTCTTTAAACTCAGAGTATAAATGATCAAGAATTTCTACAGCTTCACTGTGAAACTGACAAAGACAGCTCAGCTCAATAAAACAATAATAATAAGGAAGCATGTGCCAAAATTGAAGCAAACCAGTGAAATAGCTATTTCACTGGTTTGTGGCAAAATCTTATTTTGAATTAAAAAAGTATACAACAAATTGGAATACTTTTTTTTAAATGGTATAAAAGTTTGAGCTTTCAAACACTCAGAAATGTAGAACTTTACAGATATTTCTATCAAGTTGTCTTTGAAGCCTTCTAAAGTGTTTCTTGTTGATTTAGGAATCATGTGCATCCCAGGAACGCAGACTTTCCATCTCGCCTGCTGCTGTCAGATTCCACTTTTAGTGAAAAGGTGACTCGATCTGCATTCAACACATTTCTTAAAAGCTTTATTGAAGTTTTTATGTGACAAACTAAATCTGTGCTCTTTTTCAGATAGTTCAAAGACCACATTCTAACTCGGGCCCCCCGTGTTTGGATGATCTCGTAGCTAAAAAAGAACACGTGAACGATGTTGATCCGAAGACGTCTTCGGATCAGTTCGTCACAGACATCATTTGCTCCACACCTGAGCTCACGGAGTTTCATGACGGTGTAAAGGCGAGGTAATCCTAAACTGAAAACTGGTTGGGTGTCATTGTGAGGGGATCATGTAAAACTTGTGGATGATGTAATTATGTAATTATCGCCCGCCACCAAACGACTACAGGTAAAATCCAACAAAGTTAAGTCAGGTCCTCTGGACGGTTTCTTTTTGTTGAGACGTTTCGTCTTTCATCCAAAAGACTTCATCAGTCCGAGGAGCCGCAACAAACTCAGTCTTATAAACAGGACCTTCACATAGTGGGTCAACCAGTTTGATGGTGCTCAGATGGTTTCTGGAGTCCGCACTCACCTGCTACTACTCGTTGGAGGTGGGGGTGAGGGTTAAAATAAAAAATGTAAAATGGTTGTTTTTGCCTGTGTCTGTGGATATGTCTGTCTGTTGGCATAATATCTCATAAACCACAGGACAATTTTATTAAAACTTGCAGCTTCAACACCTGTTTGATTCAAGATGGCTGCCATAACTGCTTTACCTCATCAGTTTTACGAATATTTACCTGAACTTTTACAAACAGACTGATCCCCAACACATTCTTCAGCACTGATGTGGTCTGATTTTTTTTATTTTTTCTAGTAACTAATTGGTCAACTCTGTCTGTTAGCAAAATATCTCATGAACCACTGGATGGGTTTTCATGAAACCCTCTAAAAGCAATCAACGGATGTACGTCTACAGCTGTTTAACTTGTGGAGTCAGTGCAAGCGAACTTGGCCACCACAGCCAACCAATAATAGAAAAAACTAAAATGGTTCTAAATCATTCAGGTTTACAGATATTGAGCTAAAATTTGATGAGGTAGTAGATGAGTCCTATCCAACACCTGCTCTGAGCGAGACGCCGTACAGTTTGAAACCAACATTATTTTCCATGTCTGAGCAAAACGTCTACAACTCCATCTTTTCTCAACAGAAGACGATCTTAAAACTCCTAAAGCTCAAAGTGTAAAACTGGCGTGAGAGGCAGCGAGCGGCGTAACGATATTTTGTTTACAATCATTTTCAGCACCCCGGTTGAAACCGAAGCGCTGCCGAAAGATGAGCTGGAGAGCGAATCGAAGGACGAGTTAACGAAAGTGGACGAGCAGAGAGGAGGAGAGACGGGAAAAACGGACCAGGAGGACAACAAGGAGGTGGAGGAAGATGACTGCACGGAGTGGGATCTGCGCAACACAGACTCCGTTTTCTCCGAACTGTCCGAGTTGAGTCGGGACTGCGTTGAGAGTGTGGACCACGGGGCGAATGTTCGAGGTACAAACTGTCGCCCACATCTGGATTCATGAATTAAAACGACTGCAGACATTAATTTTGTAAACGGCAGATCTTGTGTTGCATCATGTTGTTTAATGAGAAGACAAAATAATGAGATCGTTGGAGGTTAAAGATGAGGGTTTGTAAAAAATAATCCAGCAAAGCTCTTAATTGGCTATGAAAATAGCTTTATTCTCGTCTTATTTTCTTACCGTTTTATTTGATTATTATATTTCCTGTTAAATATAAATACACAGATTAAAGTCTCTAACATGCAGTTCATTGCTTCCAGTGTTTGTGCTTGTTTTCTGAGTCTCTGTTTTTTCTGTTCAGACAGTGCCGACCAGTTTGAGGAGGTTCTTTCTCAGTACGAGGATCTAAAAATCATTCAGTGAGTTTCACATTCGGTTTCTTCTTTAGTTGTGGTCCCTGGTCTTGTGCGATTTCTTCCATGAAGGGGGTTTATCCTGACGTTAAGTTTTTCACTTGGATAAAAATACAAATACACGGGTTGAACAGACAAAACTAAACAAGTGACGCTGCATTTGAACCAAGCGGTACATGAATGTTATTTTCAGTCGTAGTAAAAAAACAAACATAATTTCAATTCTGTTTTATGCAGCAACGTTGTTCAAAAATTATCCTCTCAGCATTCTGCAAAGATGTAGAAAGAAATTTTCAGTTCATTGGATGACAAGAAAGATTATTTATCAGAAAAATCTACTGTCCGTTCACACAAAGTGCATGTTTCAGCAACTCATCCCGAGGTTGGATTCTGCAATGTTGAGTAAAACAAAAATAAATTAGAGCTTTATTTCATATTATACAGACCTCAGGATATTTGTGTTAAAGTTTTGATGACGGTACCAAACATACCCTTACTGGTGTGATCCTCCTCTCTAAAGAACCTGGCAGTAGGACAGTAATGTACCAGTTTACTGGTTTCGGCTGACCTCGAGAGCACAACAGTGATGTTAAACATTTGGATTCTCCTCTACAATAACCAGATTTTAAATGATCTTCTGTAGATAGGAGCAGGAATCTCTTTCTGCTTCCATCTTCTCTGAAAGAGCTGAAAAAATGTTCCAGATGAAACCGCTGAATTTTAGCTGAAAAGGAAGACCAAGCCTAACTTAGTAGAAGAAAGCAGAAAGAACACGTATTTGCTGAATTAGGTTTAAATAAGCAGAAATTAGCACAAAATTTATTTAATTAGCTAAAAAAGATGAAATTAGCACAAAAGTAACTGAAAAGTAGCTGTAAAGGCAGAAGGAAGCTTAAACCAGAAGGAATGGAAAGAGCTGAAATGAGCTAAAAAATCTGGAATTAGCTGAAAAAGCTAAAAATAGCATAAAACATCTAAATGGTAACTGAAAGTAGCAGAAATAAGCTGAAAGGAGCATAACAAGCTGAAATTAGTAGAAAGAAGTTAATTAGGTTGTAAGTAGCAGAAAACCATGAAAAACTTGAATTTATCTGTGAAGGGATGAAATTAGCTACAAAAATGCTAAAAAGAAGTATCTGAAAAGCTAGAACAAGCTTAAATTAGCAGAATACAGCAGAAGTAACATGTTAGCCCAGTTCGGCTGAAAGAAGCAGAAATGAGCACAAAAAAATGGAAATTATCTAAAAAAAAAAAAAAAAAAAAAAAAAGCTTAAATTATCAAAAGACAGCTGAAAAGTAGCTCTAAAAAAGAAAAAATAAGCTTAAATTACCAGAAGGAAATGTAGAGAGCATGTTTTTGCTGAAATATATAGAAAAAAGTTAAGTCAATGCATAAAATGTAGAATTAGATGAAAAGGTTAAAATTAGCATAAAACAGCTAAATAGTAGCTGAAATTGCAGAAAAAAATATCTGATGCTGAAATAAGCTTAAAGGAGCATAACAAGCTGAAATTAGTAGATAGAAGTTAAGCACAAAAATGTTGTGGTTAACAGAGAATCTGAAAGGAGCACAAAACAGCTGAAAAAACTGCTGAAATTAGCTGAAAAAAGTTAAAATTTGCACAAGGAAGCTGAAAGAAGCTGAAGCAGAACAAAATTCCAGGTCTCTCTTGTAAATGAGTCCCCGAGGCTTAATGGGATTAACCTGTATAAGTAAAGGTTGAATGAATGAAAAAATGTGCAAGGAGCAGTAAAATGTAAACGGATCTAAAGAGCCGAAGGATCTAAGGAGCTCAATTCATTTCCTATGAGAAAAAAAATGGGAGTAAAGGCTAAATATTTCAAAAAGCTAAAGGTGCAGAAATACCAAAAGCCACAGCACCTCTCTCCTGAACGAGGTGAATGTTTTGATGTATGGTTTGTTGAAATAGCACAAAAAACGTGGAACGAGAATTGCGCCAAAAACGTACAGAAGAAAAGTGGATCACAACAGTGTGAATGCTTCATAAATATTCACACTATAAAAGTTTTCCTCGGTGATTTACAAAATGTGATTTAACCTTTTTTGTTGTGTCGGACTAATCTACGTAACAGCAGGCAGCACATATCAGAGCTAGTATTTCCACCAAAATCAACACTATTAAAAAGAGTTAATTTACTTGATTATTCCCTCATGTTTTCTTTTTTTATATATCTGTAAAGAGTTTTAATTATGCAAAGGCCGTTTTAGATTTTATGTTTTTACCCTCTTAAAATAAATGTCCTTCTTTCTGTTGTTCCCTCAGTGAATCGGTCGAAGCGGCCCGTAAGGCTCTGCTCTTTCGGGTGGTTGAGCTGACAGACGATCGCTCTGCCCTCGTCCTGGAACTGTCCACTCTTCAGGAGACCGTGGCACGATTAGAGGGGCGGATGAAGGAGAAGGACGAAGAAATTAAAAGGTGCAGTAGGTTTTCCTGGATGTTTCACTTGTTTTTAAAATTCTACTAGTTCGTCAACATGTTTTAACATTTACTGCGCCTTCCTGTGTCCTTTTTTATAGACTGCGTAACGAACTGGAAACGTGTCGGTCTGAAGATCCAGATGTAAGCATCCACTGTTGTAACGTTTTTTTTAGGAGTCGGTGCAGGATGCTAACCTGGTAAGTGAAATATTAACTCAGTCTTGTCCCTCAGGCTGGTTTGCCCACATCCATGCGTCACTTCTCTCGTTCTGAAATGGCTCGTGTGGTCATGGAGAAGAACCAGTACAAACAGCGTCTGTTTGAGCTGCAGGAGGCTGTCCGACACAGCCAGACACTTAGGTACTTGTTGCTTCTTGTGACCGCTTCTTTAAATCGTGTTTCCAATGTTTGACGGTTCATTAAGTGTTTTGTCTCGCGTTACAGAGCAACCAAAGAGGTGAAGTTTACAGAGGAACGAAGGTCGAGTGTTTGGAGAAAGTGAGTTTATCTCCTCTTAAGTAACTATAGTATCTAAAAGATATTTGGTACATTCCCATCCTGTTATTAATTAGGTTTACAGTGTAGTCCAAGGTTTGAGTGTTTTTTGTTGAAAACAACTGAGTGGGCTCGATTCTCCTGCCCTGACGTGGTTCAGGTCAAAGAAAGCAGTAAAGATCCTCTGTGATGAGTTAAACTACCACTAAACTACCATTTATCATACCCAACATGAACCGATAAAGGATTTTATTTCGGGGGGGGGGGGGGGGGGGAAAAAAATTGTGTTAAATGTTATACCTTTTGGACTGTTTGTTTTATTCTTAATATTTTTCAGTGACCTTTTCGGACATCTTAATGCATGTGACAAACTCGAGGCCCGAGGGCCAGATCTGGCCCTTGTTAACATCTTAAGTGGCCCCAAACTTATATTTTAAATGTATTTTCTGTCATCGCTTCTAATTGTACTTAAAAAAAACTTTTTTAAAACCCTGATGCTTCATTTAGTGCAGGCTTCTCGTGACACCAGGCTAACTTTGAAGCCATTAAAAAAAAAAAGGTTAGATTTTTCAGGAATCTTAGATTTTGATGTATAAAGAGCATCAGAGAATCAAATTAAATTACTGGTAATCAAACTCTTGTTAATGAACCTGCAACCAGGAAAAGATGATGTGTCTGTGACTGAAATTGGCTCATGGTTTGGACCAAGTTTTTAATTTTGGCCCCCTTGTGTAAACAAGTTTGACACCCCTGATCAACTAATAAACATTTATTTTATATTGAATGGCACCTAATTGTCATTAATTTAAAATAAGATGTAACAAAATAATTGATATTTTAGGACTTATTTGTGTAAACGTAGCAACCAGGAATTTAAAAAAAGGCTACATGAGAGTAAAAATCCTGTTTTTAAGTAATGACTCCAATAAAAACTAGAGAAATTGCATTTCCTGTGAAAATGCAGTGTGAATACTTACTGCAGAAGAACTTGCTAAAAAACAGCTGAAATTAGCTAGAAAAATATGCTGAAATGGAAGAACGAGTCTAAGTTAACAGAAGAAAGTAAAAAGAACACATATTTGCTGAATTAAGTTTAAATAAGCCGAAATGAACATAAAAATTAGGAAATTGGCTAAAAACAAAAGCTGAAATTAGCAAAAAATAGCTGAAAAGTAGCTGAAAAGGCAGAGAGAAGGTTAAACTACCAGAAGGAAGCAGAAAGAGCTGAAATGAGCTAAAAACATTGTGGAATTAGCTGAAAAAGCTAAAATTAGCATAAAAACTGCTACATAGTCCTGGAATAGCATGAAAAGTTGAAACTAGCAGAAATCAGCTGAAAGGAGCATAACAAGCTGAAATTGGTAGGAAGAAGTTAGAAGAAGCACAAAAATGTAGTTGGCAGAAAGAATCTGAAAGAATCACAAAACGGCTGAAAAAACAGCTGAAATTAGCTGAAAGTAGCTGGAAAATAAGTTTAAATTTGCACAAGGAAGCTGAAAGAAGCTGAACCAGATCAAAATGTGAAAGGAACAGTAAAAGGTTGTAAACACATCTAAAGATTTTTGAAGGATGTAAAATGAGCTCAATTCATCTTCTATGGAAAAAAAAATGGCAGAAAAGGCCAAATATTTCAAAAAGTTGCACTAATACCAAAAGTCATAGCAGATTGTCCTGAAAGAGCTGAACATTTTGATATTTGTTGAAATAGCACAAAAATTGTGGAACAAGAAAGATGCTGAAAAACATAGGGGGGGAAATGGATCACAGTAGTGTGAATGCTTCATAAGCGTTCACACAATGACCTCCTAATAGTCAAGTCAAGTCAACTTTATTTATAGAGCACATTTAAAACACACATCTACAAGGTATTTTTTATCCCACCAGCTATCCATCTTCTATATCCACTTGTTCCTGTTCAGGGTCACGGGTGCTGTGGTGCACTGTGGACAGGCCATCAGTCTGTCACAGGACCACAGAGATGAGACGCTCTCACTCTCATGTAGGGACGACCAGTGGAACCAGTTAACATGCATGATGTTCCACTTTGGGAGGAAACTGAGCTGAGCCACTGCACTTTGGAGTTAAAGTTTATTAACCGTTCAATCCATACAGTCAGAAGTTAATGCATGACAAATCTTTAATAACTAATTCTGTCAATTTGTAGGTTGGACTTGTGGTCAGAAAGTCAGACTTTATTTTTAACCGTTTTCATTTTATTAAATCTTTCCATATTTAGATTCAACCGCTTGTTTGGCCTGTCCAAGGAACCTCTAGTTCCGCCTCCTTCTGCGTTGGTCCGGCAGACTTCCCCGTCCTTAACCCGCTCTCCTCTGGAATCTCCACATCTCCCATCAATCAGTCGAACTCCGTCTGAGTAAGCGCTCGTTTCTTAATATGTGGCTCCTTGAAATGCTTTTGTAGAGTTGGAGTCCAAGTGTTTTAAGCAGGGTGCACGTTTTAATTTTTAGGTGTAAGTTGGTAAAATTCAACCACCACGCTAAACAGTACAGTAAAGATGATATTTTGATATTTTCAGAGAAAAGTCGAACCTATTGTTCAAGGTCGTCTAAAAGCATTTCAGATTTATAAATGATCTTCAGGAAGTGCTACTGGAAATGAAGCGTCCAACTCTTCTGCAATATGTGATGTTTGCAAAAGCACAGATTACAAAAGGCTCTTCTGTAAAGTCTTTAAACTCTTACACAGTTTTTAAATATGTAGGGGCTTTTTTTTTTTTTTTTTTTTTGAGGAATAGAAAATACATTATTTAAAGAGAAACATTTTTCCTTTTAAGTTTGTTCAGTCACTACAAATACCTCCCGTGTTCATTTTCGTTTGTTTAATCCAGAAAACCCAGATTAATATCAAGGCACTAAACGCCCGCATTATTTTCTCTAGATCGTCTTTTTCAACTGTTGCTTCACCTCGCGTCAGGAGGAGGGAACTGTACCGAGAAATTCGCTCTCAGATTTGGAGGACTTTGGGAAAGCGACACATCCATGGCTGGAGCGTGCCGCTGGCAAACACACCGGTGACACGAGGCTGTTTTTGTCCACGTTTCTTAACAAAATAACTTCTGTTCAGTTTACCGTTTTCCCTGCAGGATATTTCTCAACATGTATTTGTGTTTTGTGATGTGTTTATGTGCAGGAGTCTGGTGAATCTGTGCCAGAGCCTAAAGATGTGCCTGTTTTAGTGCAGCTCAGGCTGTTGGATCAAAGAGACTCCGTTGCCAAGGTAACTATTCTTACAAAGTCATGCGACTTCACATGAAACCTGCGGTGCAGCTAAACACCTTTCCTAATTTTGTACACTTCTTTTTAAGATTAACTGTGCTGCTGCAGTCACACCTGAGATTTCAGGAGAAGCCACAGTAAGTGTGAGATTACTCTGGATTCATCCACCCAGCTCCAGCTAACCACGCCTAAAGACGACTTGTTTCATGTCTCCAAACTCTGTCTGCCCCTCTCCGCCAGTGTTCGGTGTGGGTCGTTTCTGGTCCCGCTTCCTGCAGTGACATCACTGTGATTGATCCAGCACGGTCCAACACGGTACTGGACCAGTTCAGCCTCCCTCCCACAGCCCCTGCTCTCTGCATCTGTGCTGTGCCTCCTGTAGGTCAGTCCCGGTTCAGTGGAGTTCAGTTTTTCTGACTTTTCTTTTGTTGTTCAACGTTTTACTGGAAGCACTTGGAAATTACCAGTCAGCGTTTCTGGCGTCACAATCGATTTGGGTTTGTTTTGTCAGATAAATCTGCTGGTACCGTATGGATTGGAACTCAGGAAGGAAGGTAGGATCAGCTGAAAAAGCAGATCTCCTGAGTTCATCTAAATATATGAGAAATTCTCTCTTCCCCTCATAGAAATAATCTGTCTTTTTGTCTTTCTCTTCCAGTGTTTTAATCCATCCAGCCTCTGGAAACAGGAGATGCTGTCTGCAATCGGTGTCTCTCTCAGAGGGCGTCCATTCACTCACGTGAGTTCAGTCTGTGTTGCTTTTATCTGTTTGCATTTAAAATTCATCGTTTTTCTTTAAACCTGCTACCTCTAGGCACTATTTTTCGTAAACGTGGCATCCGTTTTCATTTTTATGCCCATTATTGTCAAATTTACTTCCCTCTGAAACACACCGATGCACGCTCTATCCAATCTGTTCTTGACATGAAAGACAAGAAGACGGAAGTCATGTTGTTTTCACCTAATGGCACCAACTGGAACTCCTGCATTTGACCTTTCCTCTCTGGCCCCGTTTGAAAAAAACAAACAAACAGATTGTCACTAATCTGGGAGTAAAAGTGGACCCTTCCATTAACGTAATCATGTAAACACGATTGATAAATTCTGTATTTTTCAGTTGAGGTGACTGTAAATTGAAGCTCATACAAAAGTAACCTTGATACAGTAATGCATGCTTCCATAACATCCAGGCAGGATTACTGCAATGCTCTTCTTTTTGGAATCAGTCAGACCTCTGTTTGTTTGCAGCTGGTTTAAAATGCTGCATTCTGATTTTTACAGGCAGGATGACTGGAACAGGCAGAAGAGAGCACATTTGTTCAGTTTTGACTTCTCTTCACTGGCTTCCTGTTCACTTCTGAATACATTTTAAAACGCCCCCTGTTATCTCTGATCTGCTGCAGCCATATGTCCCGCAGTGCTCTCTGAGGTCAGCAGATCAGATGGTTTTATTAGATTAGTTTTACTAGTTGACTTTAACCCGAGTTTTTATTATTCTAGTCTATGGTTTATTACTGTTTTTACCTCTGTTGATTTATGTATTTAATCCTGTGTCCTTTGTTCACTTTAGTTGGCCTTGTTGCTGTTTTTAACTGCTTTATTAATAGTGTTATGGTAAAAAATATATATACAGGTTTGTCTTTTTACATTGTTGAAAATGAACTTTGTTTGTTTGTTCTTGCAGATGTTCCAACAGTCAGGTTGTTGCTGGTTTAGCTGATGGTACTTTGGCATTTTTCTCACACACTTCAGGTGATGAGCTTTTTTTTGTGCTCCTTACAACTAACCAATTATATGGATAAATGAATAATGTACCTAAATTATTCCAGCCTGAGAAATGTCTTTGTTGCATTAACGTACAACAGATTGAAAAGTTTGCAAACAAAACAGTGCAAATGACTATTGAACTGCAAACAACCATAATATGCACAAAATATTAAATAAAATGTGCAAAACAGAGACATTTATTTTAATCAGAGACAACATATTTCCTGCACACATTGAAGGATCTGAGCTTCCTTAAAACATAATCTACTTGTTTGTGTACAGCCTCAGTGTGGGGCTTCCAGCCCATTCTTCTTTGTACATATATTGTATAACTGATATGTAGTGACATGGATGATTAAACAAACCATGCTTGGTTCTGCAGATGGCTGGAACCTGCAGTCACACTCTGTGATGCCTCTTGAAACCAACCCCCTGCAGCCCGTTCGCTGTTGCCTTGCTAAAGGTGGCCGCCTGTGGGTGGGGTACTGGAACAAAGTCCACGTGGTTGACATGGAGAGCAAGAAGGTGGAGGTAAAAAGTCTAAATATTTTCCGATTTTTTTTTTTGAACGTACTGTGTTAAACTCACCATAATATTTTTCTTGTTTTTGGTTGAAGCACATCTTCTCGGTCTCGGAGCGCTGTGAACAGCAGGTTCGCTTCCTGTGTGCGGGAGGGAGTGGTGTTTGGGCGTCCTGCCGTCTCGACCCAATCATCAGGCTGTTTGACTGGTCCACTAGACGGCCACTTCAAGAAGTTGACTTTACATCTTTGGTCACAAAAACATTAGGTTCTCGAAATTGTTTTTGCTTGAACTGTGAATATGTTTTCTGTGTAAAGATAATCCATGAAGCAAATACTTTGTTCAGATTAGCTACAAAAGATGAGCGGTCAAAATTCATTGATCAGCTCGGTTTGCCCTAAAATTTAATCTACGTAGGCCTGTCACGATAACAAATTTTGCTGGGCAATTACTTGTCTCAGAAATTATTGCAATACACTATAAAATTTTTAAAAATTTGACAATAATTAGTAATTATTGTCAAATTTAAGAAGAATTGTTTCATTTGTTTTGCATGTAGTACCTTTTTTGACCACCGTATGGCAGTATAAGACTTTGAATCAAAAGATTGATAGTGAGGGAGCAAGCAGCGGGTATTTGTACGAAAAATGGGACGGAGCCCCTTGATGTGACATGGGCTGTCTCTTTGGTTCTCAAAATGGCGGACGCTCGGTGTGGTTTGAGCTCTTTAGCATAGCATTTTTCACAGAAAGCTTTTAATAAAAATCAGTAAACAAGGTCTCAGCTTCTTGTTGCAGAGGAAAAACTTTACATGAAGGCACGGGTTTCAACTGTGAATTTTGGAGCTTTGACAAGACTGAGGTTTTTTTTCCTCAATGTCAGCCTGTTAGCTTAGCTTGTAGCTTAGCTTCTCAGCTTAGCTGCTTTTAACTGTCCAAAAACGTGATTTTGGATGGTTAAAATGTATTTTAAAGAGAAAGAGGGGGGTCAGTGAAGAACACCAGAGTTGAGCTTTTTGTCATCCAGTGTCTTCAGAAAGAGAGACACGAAGAAACGATAAAGCCGATAAATGAAAATGAGGTTGATAATTTTAATTTATCGTGCGATTAATTGATTTCTTGTTTATCGTGACAAGCCTAAATCTACGATGCTTTTATTTTGTGAAAATCTAATAAAAAAAAAATTCCTTTGGTAGGCCAGCCCTTCTTGTCGCTGTCGCCTCTCCAGATCTCGTCTCTTACCATCATCTCTGGTCGTTTGTGGGTGGGAACAGGAGGGGGGGCCATTTTCTCCATCCCCCTGTCCATAAGTAAGTTTTATTTACTACACTTTCTACAGTCAGAAATGTGCTCTGGTCTTGATTACACCAACTGCCTACAGCCTCAGAGGATGTTTCCATCCCGTATTGCTCCACGGTGTTGGCCCAGCTGTCGTACCACGGACACAGACAAGCCGTCAGATTCATCCTTGCTGCACCTGGTAAGAATTTCAAAGCTGCTTTTGTAGCGCGTCACTGTCCCAAAAGTCTTCTTGTTCTATGGCAAACTCTCTAGATTAACTTTGATTCTAAAAGATGGTTCAGTGCACGATTAGAGAAACTTCTTTAATAATTCTGCAGTCTGCTCTCAGGTTGAATTTACCTGGACTGCTTGTGCCAGCACAGGTGTTTAAATGTTATCAACTGTGAATGACTCCCAGACGGTGAACATTTTAAATTTCAGACACCGTGCAGCTGTTTCCCCTCAGTCCCTCAAAGACCCTTTTGGACACGACACACAATTGGCTGATTGATGGATGAGCCGCACGATCGGCATGGAATTTTTATTTAAAATAAATTATTTTAAATTATTTAGCAACTGCTGCACCTTAGCGCAGACCACACTGCAGGAGAAGCTTCCTCCTGCATCTTCTCCTCCCTCCTCTGTCAATCTCCGTTCTGCAGCGGAGAAGTGGGCGTGGCCAAGAGCGCTGGCAAGGAGCTGAAATCATGACGTTCTGTGCTCTTAAAGCTCAGCTTTTAGTTTAGAAACATTGTTTAGAATTTTGCAAGAGTGTGGAAATGGGTTAAACGCTTATATATATATATATATATATATATATATATATATATATATATATATCGTTAAATAAACTACTACTTGTACTACTATTCCTACTTCGTGGTTTTTCACTTATCGCGGGGCTTCAGTGTACAGATCCCCGTGATAAACGACTACTGTACAGCTTAAATTAAACTTGTTCCTTCAAAATATTCTGTCATGTTTAAACCATTTATATGTGAATTAAAACTTAATACTCCCCCCGCCCGCCCCCCCCCAAATGCACGACTTTGTTTTTAATCTATATTTTAATCGGTCGATATTCTACCCATGTTGAAACAGGATCAGGTTTTTATTTGATGGACTGCTTTGGGATGCCTACATGTGTTGTGTTGTATTTGTTCCTGAGTGATTATGAGCTCCTTCTGGTCTCAGGATGTTTGATCGCCTCTCCTGGCAGCAGCCACGTCACCACAGCTCAGCTCATCCTCAGTGGAGGAGAGGGATACATCAATTTCCGAATCGGTGAGTTTATAGTGTTTCCGATTTTTATACTTCTAACACTAGTTTTACATCATTTAATGATTGTTTGGGAAAATAATAAATAGTCTCAATTTTGTTTACAACTAAAGTTGGTGATTAGAAGTTCAGAATAATTTGACGTGTCTTATTTTAATGAGTTTTGTTTTAATGCTCTCAATATCCTCCTGCAAAATTGCTCAACTTTTTTCAGCTGTCACCCTTACACCTTTTAGTCGCGGTTTCTTCTCAGAGCAGAGAATCAATTTTGGCAGCAATCATGACTAAAACTTTTCTTGACCATTCGACTACAATAAGATTAACAGCCTAATACGTCTTATCAAATGCCCAACCATTGTTTCAACTTTCCAGGAGATGATGAAAGTGATGAATCGCTGGAGGTGTCGCAGGCCTCACCACAGCGGTGTGAGCGTGGTCACATGATCATCTGGCAGACGCCCAGTCTTTCTGTGCCCGGCTCTTCCCTCTGACACAATCTGTGTTTGCCACATGAGACGAAGTGGACATTTTTACAGCAATGGAGCATGAAAGGATGTGGACAGAGACTGGAACAAACCTCTAAATGTGGCGGCAATAAAAGTATTGATTTGATTTTTGATATTTCAAATCTGTTTACCTCATTTGTTTGTAGATTTTAAATGATTATGCCCTCATTTGATTTTGATATAAGTGCTGTGGATGGTATCTTTTTAAGCTTCCTTATGGACTTTTGCACTAATGATGAATTCAGTTTTGCTGAGAATTAACAGATTTTTTTCTGTATTTTGATCAACATGCAGAGAATAATCTGTTTTATTTGAATCATGAAGTTGAACTAGTCTCCTCTTGAAGGTGCTGATTATTTACTAGTAAACTGGAAACGGGTTTTTGTTCAGTCAGCATAAAAACAATCAAAAATTTAAACTTTTTTTAATGCTTTATTTAAATCTGACATATCTTTTGTGTTGAGTGTTTCTGGAATTTCAGCTTCAAGCGTTAACTCAAAGTGCTCGTTGTTCCAGGTGGAGTAAATGCAAGTATCTGCACATTATAAACGTGTCTTATGTAAAATCTCAAATCTCTTTAAAATATTTATTTTCTAAACTTTTTTTTTGTTTTCATGAAAGTGCTTAAGAGACTCGAGATGCTTTGTGTTGATTTTGATTAGTAAAATGAGGGAAACACATTCTCCCAAGTGTCTCCTGCAGTATTTGTGTTTAAACAATCTGATGTCACAGAAGCGCCTTATTTTTCCAGAAAAGACCGAGTATTAAATAAACCTTGTGCAAATATGATTGTCACTTAACGTTCTTTTCATTCTCAGTGGTTCTGTTTTAATCTGGTGTCAATGCATCACAGCTCAGTGACTGATTATTGACAAAAGATGATGTAAATCAAGAAAAAAAAGTATTTTAGTCCACATATTCACCTTTGTGTAGAGCACATCCATCCCCGTTTTTTTTTATTTATTATTAACTTGTTTGTGTGGATACAAAATTTTACCAAGTTATGATTGCAAGACAAACTGGTATAAAAGGGTATTATGAATACATTTCATATTTACTGAATCATAAGGTATTTGTGTTGGCTTCTAAACTGGGCGACTACAGGTCATGAAACCCCTTCAGTTCATCGATTTTGGTGTTCGTGCTCATGGGTGCTTCCTGGAAGCTGACAGGCTTGTGGGTCCAAATGCACAAATCATGATCCCCCATGTAGAAATATACTCATTTTTACATTTTACGTCCTCTGTAAATTCATCTCAGCCATTGTATTCTGTTGAACTTGTAGAAAATTGACACAAAAGATGTTTCTCAAGTTCTTTATTCTACCATTATTTTAGGAAAATCCACCACAGTTAAAAAGTGACAACAAAATAGAAACCGGGTGTAAGGCAGTTCATTGTGTAACAGAAAGCAAAGCAACTCGTGAGCTTTAAAATGTCGGCTCGACTCCTTATGTAGCGCTGCTATGTGACCTGGGGAGCCGTATCCTGCGACTCAACGAGCGAGCCATTCGGTCCACCGCATCAACCACAGTCCCGCTGTGATTCTTTTTTAAAGCTAGACCTTCAATGTTGCCACTGTACCACAGGACCCAGCCTGCTAAGGAAAATAATACCAGCAGAGCTCCTGTGTACACCAGCAGGTCCCCAAAGTCTCTGCCGTGGATTTCTAGTGGAGCAAAGACGCCCAGAAGGAGAGACGTCACACCCAACAGGTCCATCAGCACCGCGAACACCAGGGCGAACTTACAGTGGGACAACCCGTCATACTTTTGTACCATGGTTGGTCTGAAAAGAGAGGAACAAATGTGATATATTCACATGCATTTTTAAATATACAATTGTTACATGTGAAGAAAATAACTACTGACAGAAGAACTGGTCCGTCATTGGTCAAAGACTGAACAAACTTTGCAAAAATATGCATAAACTGACCATAAATTTAAAATTCGTGACAATATGACCACTAACAGATGAAAACCAACGGCAAAGTAACCCAAAAATGATCTGGGTCTCAAAAATAATTTAAAACAAATAAATACTGAACAAGAAAATGTTTGTCTCATGACACAACAAACCAACCATAAACAATAAAGTGTCCCCAAATATACAACACATAACATAAAATATCCATTAACAGATATGTAAAAAGACCCAGAATTGTTCTGGGTCACAAAAATATGAAAATTAGAATAAAACTGAAGATGAGAAAAAAAAATACTATACCGGGATAAAAACTGACATTAGTCACAAATTTACAGTCCATGACAAAAATGTGTCTGGGTCACAAAATCCTTAAAATTAGACACAACTGGAACAAATTGCATGTTTACAACAAAGTATCAGCTCTTTGTGGACTTCATTTGCCTTCAACACCATGATTCCCCAGACCCTGATGGACAAAATGTTCACACTAGGACTAAGCTCCTCCATTTGCAACTGGGTTCTGGACTTCTTAACAAACAGACCACAGTCAGTGAGGATCCACAACTTCTCTTCCTCCACTCAGCACTGGCTCCCCTCAGGGATGTGTACTGAGCCCTCTCCTGGTTACTCTGCTCACGTATGAATGTGCAGCTACCCATCCAGGCTGTCATATTGTAAAGTTTGCAAATGATACAGCGGTGGTGGGATGCATCACAAACAATGATGAGTCCAGCTACAGGCAGGAGGTGGAACACCTGGAGCACTGGTGCAGGAAGAACAACCTTTACATCAATGTCACGAAAACGAAGGAGATGGTCGTACTTGGGTGTACACCTGAATGACAACCTCAGCTGGGTCAACAACAGGACCAGCCTGATTAAGAAAGCTCATCAGAGACTCTACTTTCTCAGGCAGCTGAGGTGAGCTGGTCTGGAAAGCTCAGTCCTCACCTCCTTCTACAGGTGTGCAGTGGAGAGCATCCTGTGCTCGAGCATGGCATGTGGCATGGAGGCTGCACAGCTGCAGAAAGAAAAGCTTTGCAGAGAGTGGTGAAGGCTGCACAGAAGTCTGTTGGAGTCAGTCTCCCCACCATCACAGACATATACAGTACACATATGGAGGAAGAGGGCCACCTGCATCATGAAGGACCCCACTCACCCAGCACACACACTTTTTGCCCCGCTCCCCTCAGGAAGGAGGTTAAGGAGCATTAAGTGTAGAACCACTAGACTGAGGAACAGCTTCTACCCTGAGGCTGTTAGACTCATGAATCTCTAACCAGAATAATCAGTGTGAAAATTTGCATCATGTTGCTGCTGATCTGTTTCATGTTGCTGCTGATCTGTTTCATGTTGCTGCTGATCTGTTTCATGTTGCTGTGTTCATTCATACTCATCTGCTCACATGGACTAATGTTCGTGCTGCTGTTTGACGTAGTTTTTATATTACTAGTGCTTAGTGTATTTTTATTAATGTTTTTCTTAGTTAATATCTTAGATCTTATTACTGTTTTTCTTTTACATTTTAATATGTTTGTTGCTGGGGATAAAACTACAACATGTACTTCAATAGTTGATGATTTTAGAAATACCTACATATAAATAAGTGCAACAATATTACAAACCTGATTCCAAAAAAGTTGGGACACTAAACAAATTGTGAATAAAAACTGAATGCAATGATGTGGAGGTGCCAACATCTAATATTTTATTCAGAATAGAACACAAATCACAGATCAAAAGTTTAAACTGAGAGAATGTTTCATTTTAAGGGAAAAATCTGTTGTTTCCAAATTTCATGGCGTCAACAAATCCCAAAAAAGTTGGGACAAGTCCATTTTTACCACTGTGTTGCATCTCCCCTTCTTCTTACAACACTCAACAGACGTCTGGGGACAGAGGAGACCAGTTTCTCAAGTTTAGAAATAGGAATGCTCTCGCATTCATGTCTAATACAGGCCTCTAACTGTTCAATCGTCTTGGGCCTTCTTTGTTGCACCTTCCTCTTTATGATGCGCCAAATGTTCTCTATAGGTGAAAGATCTGGACTGCAGGCTGGCCATTTCAGTACCCGGATCCTTCTCCTACGTAGCCATGATGTTGTGATTGCTGCAGAATGTGGTCTGGCATTATCGTGTTGAAAAATGCAGGGTCTTCCCTGAAAGAGATGACGTCTAGATGGGAGCATATGTTGTTCTAGAACCTGAACATAGTTCTCTGCATTAATGGTGCCTTTCCAGACATGCAAGTTGCCCATGCCACAAGTGCTCATGCAACCCCATACCATCAGTGATGCAGGCTTCTGAACGGAGCGTTGATAACAACTTGGGCTATCCTTGTCCTCTCTGGTCCGGATGACATGGCGTCCCAGTGTTCCATAAAGAACTTCAAATCGTGACTCATCTGACCACAGAACAGTCTTCCATTTTGCCACACTCCATTTTAAATGACCCCTGGTCCAGTGCAAACATCTGAGCTTGTGGAGCTTGCTTAGAAATGGCTTCCTCTTTGCACTGTAGAGTTTCAGCTGGCAACGGCGGATGGCACGGTGGATTGTGTTCACTGACAATGCTTTCTGGAAGTATTCCTGAGCCCATTCTGTTATTTCCTTGACAGTGGCATTCCTGTTTGAGGTGCAAACAGTGACGTTTAAGGGCCCGGAGATCATGAGCATCCAGTAGAGTTTAACGGCCTTGACCCTTACGCACAGCGATTGTTCCAGATTCTCTGAATCTTTTGATGATGTTATGCACGGTTGATGATGATAACTTAAAAGTCTTTGCTATTTTACGCTGGGTAACACCATTCTGGTATTGCTGCACTATCTTTCTGCGCAAAAATGGTGGAATTGGTGATCCTCTTATCATCTTGGCTTCTGAGAGACACTGACACTCTGAGAAGCTCTTTTTATCAACCTTTATTTATACAGGTAAATCCCATTGAGCCTCGAGGACTCATTTACAAGAGAGACCTGATTTCAACAAAGAAAGATGACAACAATGGACAACAGTAACAACAATAAACAGTTATAAAAAAAGCATACTACAGTTTTTTTTTTTTTTTAACAAATAGGATGGCTAAAAGGAAAAGGTAACAAAACAAAAAAACAGCTAGATTATACCCAATCATGTTGTCAATTGACCTAATTAGTGTTAACTGGTCTTCCAGCTGTTCGTTATATGCTCAATTTCCTATTTCCAGCCACTTATTGCTACTTGTCCCAACTTTTTTGGGATTTGTTGACACTGTGAAATTTTGAATCAACATATTTTTCCTTTAAAATGTTACATTTACTCAGATTAAACTTTTGATCTGTCATCTATGTTATATTACGAATAAAATATTGACATTTGCCATCTCCACATCATTGCATTCAGTTTTTATTCACAATTTGTTTAGTGTCCCAACTTTTTTACCTTAAGATGCCCTGAAAGGTGCCACACCTTTCATGCAGTGATCACGGGACTTTTTCAGGCAAAACTATCAGGTTTATACAGATTTTCAATAACTTTCGTGATAAACAAAAAGCACTTACCCTTTAGTGTGGCTGTCAAGATCCTAAAATAGAAAATAATTTATGGTGTAAATCGTGCGTTTCGAAGTCTTGTTTTCGAGAGAAGCCACCATTACTGAAACCTGACACCGTCACCTGTTTAACCTGTCCTGCAAGTCGGCCCCGTCTGTAACAGTCAGTTTTGTTTGTTTGTTGAAATCTTTTCCGAGTTCAAATGGACAAAAAAAGACAACAAACAGTAATCACAATATGTCAAGATGATTGCGTTACAGCGCAAAACTGTGCGTCTGGAAAATTACTAATGTTATTTTTGTTTAGACGCAGACTTATAAAATAATAATAATAATACATACATAATAATAATACATGCGTTAGCACCATGCGCCAGTCAGCAGACGGTTCACGGAGATAAAATAAATAAAATAAACAAGCTGCATTTTCTCAGTTTCGACCTTATTGTAGCCGGAAATGACGTCAGAGCGCTTAAAAAAAAAAACTAAAGAGCGGTGATTGTTATTGTTAGCTTGTTAGCTTGCAGGCAATCTGGTGAAATGGAGCTATGACTGAGTAATAACGTCTTATTACATGTGCACTGTTTAGTTATTACAGACGCTAAGTGGTATGTACCTCTTTCTGTGGTATATATTTTTAGTGCGGAGATCTTATTAGTGCCACAATAACGGAATTAAACAACCTAGTGTATATAATAAAAAGGAAATGGATTTATAAATTCGGACTACATTTTCGTGCTAACCTTACTTGCACACAGCTAACGTTGTCTAAGCTTGTCTCTGACGCATTGTGAGCGCTGTTTCAGGCTTTTGTTAACTTGTTCTTGAGTAATAAAGACAGTTGGACAGTTTCGGTTTATATTGTAGAAGCTTGTCTCGAGAACATTTAGTTAAATTAGCGCTGGTTTGATTTAAGCAAAGCACAACATTGTTCAAAATAGTCGCATTACTCTGTGCTGCAGATTTCAAACTTCGTCTCTTGAATGTGTTTATATGTATATATCTGACTCTTTGGCATTTGTTTTAAATTAACTAAATGTTTGTGTTAGATGGAGGACGGTAACAGGAGTGATGCTGCTTCTACATCCAAAAGCCATACAGGCTCTCTTCACCTACAGAGTAAGATTTGGTTTACTCATCATTGTCCTGCCGTTAAATCACACAGCTCATAAATCTTGTGGTTCACTTCTTGCAGCTCCAAAAAATGAGGATGCCTATGAAATATCCATCCCCTATGAGGAAAACAGCTTTGAGCAGCAAGGATTTTTCAACCAGCCTGATCAGAATTTTGATGGTGAATATCAGATAAAGTATAAAGAAATCACAGTCCTCTGACAGTTTATTAATTCTGCTCATGTGCAGCATATTCCATGACCTTTCAAACTCTCCTTGTCATCCTCAGAGTCACCCTCAAATGCTGGCCCACCTCCCGTAAACAACTCGTACATGGTGATCACCAACCTGCGGACCCAGCTCCAGATCTCTCTTGAAAAAAACTCCTGGTTGCAGAAAAGAATCGAAGACCTGAAAGAGGAGAGGGACTTCCTTCGATGCCAGCTGGATCGTTTCATTTTTTCTACAAAGAGCCAGGGACAAGAGCAAAGTCAGAGTCAGTATAGTAATGGTGAGTGTTGGATAATTTAATTATCCTATCATCAACTCATTAAATAAATAGCCACGCAAAGCAAACCAGAAGGGCAGCACAGTGGCGCAACTGGTAGAGCTGCTGCCTCTCAGTGAGCAGGTCCTTGGTTCAAACCCCGGTCCAGGAGCCTTTTTGGGTGGAGTTTGCATGTTCTCTTCGTGCATGCGTGGGTTTTCTCCGGGTGCTCCGGTTTCCTCCCACAGACCAAAAACATGCATGTTAGGCTGATTGGTAACTCTAAATTGTCCCTAGGTGTGAGTGAGAGAGTGAATGGTTGTTTGTCTCGTTTGTCTCTATGTGGCCCTGTGATGGACTTGCGACCCGTCCAGGGTGTACCCCGCCACTCGCACAGTCATTGCTGGACATGGGCACCAGACCCAAAATGAAATAAGCGGGTAAAGATAATGGATGGATGGATGGAAAACCAGAAGACCTTTTTAACCCAGGTTTAATCTTGCAAGGGGAGCAGCAGTTGAAAAAACAAGCACCAAGATCTTACATGTCGCTTAGTCTCCCAAGGTCTGCTCACAGGCAGTATAAAGAAGTGTATTTTTATAATGGTTATTAGACAGAGGCGAGGTGAAGACAACCTCTGCTTCACAGCACATCTCTTGAAGGCGTCAGAGTATCAGCTATTAGTTTTCAGTTATCAGGCTCCTCTCTGAGTAGATAGAAAGACTCTCTTGTCTTCACGTACATGGTTCTAAATCAATTTGACATAAGTAAGTGAAACATCTGTGACCTTTAAATCCCCCATCAGTGAGCAAGAGGATATAGGTCCAACAGTTTGACTTCCGGTTTAATAAGAAATATTGGGAAAGTTTGTTTTTCTTTTCAACAGTTTTGTCTCTCTTGGCGTTTGCCTCTCACTAGGGTACGAATCAAGGCGATTTACCTGGAGGGCAAGAAGAGAAGATGACCATCCTCCAGGTAAAAACATAGACTTTTGTCTAACTGTATAAAAAAAAAAATCATTATTAGATATTCTGGTGCAGCTTGTCTTTTCTCTTCATAGAACAACAGAAAGCAGACTCACAGCATTTCCCTTCACGTCAGTTTATCCAGCGAAGGCCTGGTCCTCCCACTATAGTGTCTTCCAAAAATCACGTCTCCAATCCAATGAGCACTCAGCTCACATCTATAAATGCGTTGTTCAACTCTACACAATCCCAGTCCCTTTTGCAAGGCCACGGTCACAGCACTCCCAGTACTACAGCCAGTGGCAGCAAAAGTGGCAGTGTCACAAGATCACCCCTAAATGAAATGAGTGGCCATAGTGGTCCAGGTAATACAAATCACTTGGTTTATTTCATATTTGCTTTATCTAATTACCTTAATGAAATTATGGTTTTCTGTATGTGCCTTTTACTGACTGGATTTTGTAAAGTAGATCATTTTTGTCTTCACAGATTCCCTCTCACTCCTGGGAGAATCTGATTACTATTTGGAGCAGGATGGCTTCATTGAAGAGGAAATTATATCAGGGGAAGATGTCATGTCAGACACAATTAACACCAACAGGCACCAGTTGAAGAGAAGGCGGCTTTTCCGAGCTCCAAGAGAGCGGCAGAGAGGTAAGAAAATCTAGCAACAAGACTTGGATTTTCAGTTTAACTGTAGTCATTACCAAGAGATGAATGGAGCTAACTCTCCTGGGCAACTTATTTTTTCAGTAAAAGATGCTGCTGGAGTGCTGTTTCGTTATAAGAAGATCCTGCTTACTTACCAGCGTCTCAAAAATATGTCAAAAGCCTTTCAAATCCATGGTGTTGACCGCAACACCGTGGCCTCTACCACACCCATCGCTGAGCTGCTTTTAGTGGCCCCAGAGAAAGTGGCAGAGGTGGGAGAGTTTGACCCATCAAAGGAAAAACTGTTGGACTACGCCCAGCGCTGCTACGTTGCCCTGGATGAAGAGACACTCAGCAGAGTGCAGGCGTTAAAGAAGAATAACCTTCTGCTGCCCATCTCCTACAGGTTCAGACACTGAGAAAAGAAAAAAATATTAATGGAAAGTCATTTAGAATACAGAAAGTGAGAGTAAGACGAGAAGAGAAAAGGCAGTTGGGTTCTGCTGCTGGAGAGAAGATGATTCCCAAACTCACTCTGTGACTCAGACTGTTTTCATTTATGTTGAACCTTTCACATCACACTAACACTTTCAACATGGTTCGTGTGTTTGTTTGACAAGTCTTCACCAAACTGAACATGTGGGGTGTCAATTGTACTTGGAAATAGAAAAAAGTACTGTAGGTTATTAGAAGGAAAGCAATGTCACATCTGTCATTCTAAAAGAAATAGGAATGTGTATTATAAAGAAAATGGAAAGCTTTGATTTTACCAGTAAACTAGTTCAAGCCAACATTACATGTTTTAGAGACATAACGTTTTTTTATTTCTGTCCTCATCTCGATCAGGTTGAATCCAGTCACTCAGTCACTACGTTGAATTCATTTGGCTTGTGAAACTAAATAATATTTCTGAAAAAGAGTTCCTGATACACAGAATTGACCAACTGTCAGCTTTAACAACTTTTATATGTTCTACTGTACTGATATTGTATGTTTTAAAGAACTTATCCCCATTTTAATATGTTATATTTGCTTTTTTTATTACTGGTACACAATTTTTCTACTTGCCTTAATGTAGTTTTGTACTTACATAGTAGAAACAATCAAATTCCCTTTTCATGTCTTTAGCATTGAAAAAATTAAAACTTGAAAAAAAATCATGCTCAGATCACTCACATTAAGATACGATTGGTATTTGTGGCGCGGATGCACTTTTAGCAGCGACATGCATCTGAATTCAAGAGGCAGTCATTCATTTCAACCAGGAATTCAGTTTAAAATGACTTTTTGGCCACAAAAAGTTTGGCCAAATTTATGCTTTCTGAACAATTTCAGTCGATCCACTACAAACTGCTAAACCACATTATTTATATATGTCCCTTACTAAATTGTATTAAATGTCATTTGTGATGTTGAGAATCTTGTAAAGGTATTGTTTAAACAACATTTTTTGTAAATTATGACTGCATATTCACCTGGCTATTTGTTATATTGTTTTGGTTCCTTGTGAAAATCTGTGAGCATAACACTTTTTTACATTTAAAAAAAATCAACAAAAGTAGTCCGTTTTTGTGTACGAAGGATGTGTTTTCTAATGTCTATTTGTGCATGTGACGCCCAAAAGGATAGGAGTCCTAAAATCTATGCTTTTCAAAGACGAAGGCTACATTGAACCATAATTTGCAGTGCATTTATCATTAAGGGGAAATATGAGGATGTCTTATGATGTAACAGTAAGGAATTTGATTATTGGCCTAAATTTTAGGAGGGAACTACCGGTACTATAATATGATTCTAACAACATTTTAGTGTCTGATGTTACAGCTAGGGCAGCACGGTGGCGCAATTGGTAGAGCTGCTGCCTCTCAGTGAGCAGGTCCCTGGTTCAAATCCCGGTCCAGGGGCCTTTCTGGGTGGAGTTTGCATGCGTGGGTTTTCTCCGGGTACTCTGGTTTCCTCCTACAGACCAAAAACATGCAGGTTAGGCTGATTGGTAACTCTAAATTGTCCCTAGGTGAGCGTGAATGTTTGTTTGTCTCTATGTGGCACTGTGATGGACTGGAGACCCGTCCAGGGTGTACCCCGCCCCTCGCACAGTGATTGCTGGACATGGGCACCGGCGACCCCCATGACCCAAAATGGAAAAAGGGTAAAAGATAATGGATGGATGTTACAGCTAAAAAGTAACAAATCTGGTACGAAGTATCTGAAAACTTCCTGTTTACATGTGTTATACTCACCTAATGAACAGCATAAATTAAATGTCATTAAATCATTGGAATTTATATAAATTGGGAGATTTGTCGTCTATAAAATTGAACCACCATGCAATGCGGAAAATGCAAATAATTCATTAAAAGTACTGTTAAAAGAAGTGCAATAAAACATTTGTTTTCCTACTACCGGTACTTGTGTGAATTTCTGACTGTTCCATTCTGTTATTCTTACTACATAATTATTATTGTGCTATTTGTACACATGCTGTGTCAGATGAATTGTTTTTGTCATGTGATTGACTGATTTTTGGTGATGACAAATATGAAAACGTTTCAGCATAAAAGACTATAACACTTCTGTTGTTGATAAGTTTTTAATTTTGTTTTTCTATTTTAATGGGCTGTCTTTAAAGGACAACTGTTCAATTTCCCCAAGTCCAGAGTTTAAATCATTCTTGGCTTGCAAAGAAGGAAAACTTTATCTGCAAAATTAAGAGTTTCCCTTTTTAACAGATTGTAATATTTTATTTTTATTATCAGGTTATATTAAACGCATTTGGCGAAAAATAAATATAGTGGAAAACGAGGGTAAGCTTGTTTTTATGATGTTGATTAAAAGGTATGCTTTTATTTTTTCACAGGAAACAACATTCATCAACTTCCGGTGTCAGGGGCTATCTCGGACACGGAGCAAAAAAGCGGGCATACTGAAATTTCTACAGTTTTCTGCTGTCTTAAAACGTCAGAAAGCTCAAATATTTGGTTTGTTCGGTCAAACGAGTGTATCTTGTCGGCTAGCGATCCCCTTGGATTTGCATTTTGTTTGGAAAAAGACTAATTCATTCGGCGCTCGTAGCGGGCCTTTTCTTCTTAACTTTGCTAACGTTAGCAGGCTAACACGAGCACGTTTTTGTTTGTCGATTCTCTCTGTTACCTTCTAAAACGTACCACACCGCTGATGTGTGAATTACTTAATGACTTTTTTAAAATTTAGTGGCACGAAGGTTTGTAACTGAAGCTATCTAACTGCAGCTATAACGGCGAGCTATTGGTCTTTTCTTTAAAGTGTCGCTCACTTTGTCGCTAGCTAAGCTAGCCACCGCCGTCTGAACAACGCAGCCGCTGAAAGCGTAACAAGCTACAACCCAGAAATGTCGGACTACGACGAATTCGAAAGACAGCTGTCTGAAAACAAACAAGGTAAACCAGTTTAAAACCATACACTAATAAAAACACTAATAATTAGGATTAAAACTACTGCTGTATTAACCTTCTAGTCTATGGATGCATCTACAGGCTCATTTTAACCCAGAATCGTAAAAGCCTCCAAACTATGTTTGTTTTTTAAATCGTGTGATATTACTAATCTATACAGTACTTTAAATTACGTTTGGTAATAGGTAGCTCGATTGATTAAGTTTAATGTTGGGGTTTTTAAATCTGGGATTGGCTGTAATGTGATAGACTAGGACCTTTTTCCAGTTAGCATTAGCAGCTGTTCCAATTACAAGGTTCTTTATTGTCATTCGCATCACGTGGTACATGAGGTGGAACGAAATTGTGTACCCACAGGATCCCAGTTACATCCAACAATAGCAAAAGTATAAATTGTAAAAGAAAACCGTTATAAAGATCTAAGATATGAACTAAGAAGAAATATGCTAAACTAAGAATACAAACACTTAATAGTGCAGAAGCAATATGCCAAACAACAGCAGCACGAACATGAGTCTGTGTGAGTAGATGAATACAAATGAATACAGCAGCATGAGATCAGCAGCATGGATAATCAGCAGCACATATCAACAATCAAAGTGTCAATTACAGTGATAAAAAAATCCCATAGTGATAATCCTGATTAGGGATTCATGAGTTTTAACAGCTTCAGGGTAGAAGCTGTGTGGGGGCAGACAGTGGTGTCACATCCCACTTAACACAAAACAAGCTCTTGACCTACAAATATTAAGGTGTCAGCAAGGCTACATGATTGTCTCACATGCAGTTGTCATTTATTTAACTATTTAATCTTAGCATTAAAAAAGCTACATCATTCCAGGTTTGTTGAAGATAATTTGTTGAATTTTAGATTAAAGTATCTTTGAGGCTGGAGATTGTTTTTGTTTTACAGTTTTCACTCAATTCAATCATGGCAAAACCATTAATATTACATTTCTTAAAAGGATCTAAGAGTTGAATTTTCAACCGTTTAATTGTTTAGCAAACTTAATTTAGCAACAAACATGAAAAATTATTTTGTAGATTTTTTTTGAGTACAGTAGTCCCTCGCTACTTCGTGGTTCGTTTATCGCGGACTCGCTCTATCACGGTTTTTCAAAATAAGATTGGACATGACACACAGTTGGCTGATTGATGGATGAGCCGCACAATCGGCATGGGATTTTTATTTCAAATCAATTATTTCGAATTATTTAGCACCTGCTGCACATTTGTGCAGCCAGAGCTGCAGAAAAAGCGTCCTCCTGCAGCTTTGTGCAGCCCATACTGCAGGATAAACTTCCTGCTGCATCTGAACTGCTGATCAGCTGTTCAACATGCAGAGCGGAAAAGTGGGCGTGGCCAAGAGTGCTTGCAGGTGGCAAAGAGCAGAGGAGGCAGGGAGCTGAAATCATGACAATCTGTGCTCTTTTACAGCGTTTAGAGTTTACAAACATTGTATAGAATATTGCAAGAGTATGGGAAGGGTTTAAAACGCCTATATATATATATATATATATATATATACTACTTGCTACTTGTACTACTATTCCTACTTTGTGGTTTTTCACTTATCGCAGGTCTTCAGGATCCGGATCCCCGTGATAAACGAGGGGCTACTGTATATGCAATAAACTTCCAATTGAATTAATATTTATGAATTTATTTATCTACAACTGACCAGGAAAAACAAATGCCTTTGACTCGCTATTTGAGTTATTTGTCTTTCATGAAAGCAGTGGCACATTTGTATTGTTTGAATAAAATTATACATAATTTCAGACTGAATCTTTTTTTCAAACTTCTTATTTGTTTTGTAATTCACCCACGTATTACCTTTGTTTTGTAAAGAGAAAAATAGATTATGTAATTTTGTCTTGTTTACCATCGTTTGTGTGTCTGGGGGATGGAGAGAAATGTAGTTCCTAAGCTGGTGGAGGAATCATGTTGGTTCCAGTTTACTATATAGACAGAAAATTTACATAATAGCAAGTCCAAAAAGGCACTGAAGATGTTCAAAACATTGGGGGGGGGGGAAAGAGTTCTTGTCCTTGGTTAACTACATGAGTACCAGATCATCTTCCAGCAACAATCATGACAGCGAGATCCAATGTCTTGCGTCTTGTGAAGTCCAACCAGATCTATTTTTAACTTTTAATTTGAGTGTTGAAAACTTTTAGCCTTCTTTGGAAAACATTTGATCAATGACTAAATGTTGTGTTACACAGTTTGATGCATATTGCTTTGACAATTTTCATGTCTACTTTCTACCTAAAGTCAAATAATTGTTCAAAGAATGATATTTAATCTCACTCTGTTCTGCCTTTTTTGAATCAAACACTGTAGTTGTTTTACATGCTCTTTATTCCTGCAGCTGAAAGGGACAAAGAGAACCGCCATCACCGGCGGTCCTCATCTCGCAGCCGTAGCAGAGAGAGGAAGAGGAGGAGCAGAGACAGGGACAGACGCAGCAGGGACCGCCGTGGAGACAGTAAGGAGCGAAGACACAGGCGTAGGTAAGTACTAGTTTACAATACCAACAAGCTGTTAATCTTTTGTCTTATCTGTTCTTCTAAATGGATTTAAGGACCAAAGTGGTCAAACTTGAGGAGCATCAGTGACGTCTACACAACAGCTATTTTTTTGTCAGTTAAATTTTTATAGTGCAACATGTATTGGGTCTGTCTCGAACCCCTCAAATGTACGCAAGAACTGACCTGTTTTACTTAGTAGTTGTTGCAAATTTGCAGTCATTAATTTTTATCTTTTTAAATACTGTTTTACTAATCAAACCACAGTATTGCAAATAAAATGCATATTTTGACTGATATAGTTTTTAACTCTTATTTCCCATAAACCCTACATTTTCTTGCATATTAGTCAGTTTGATATAATATTGGTTGTCTTTGTACTATTCAGATATTCAGTTTGTTTTTGTTTCCAACTCGATGACCCTGAGCTGAAGTGTTTGATAAAATCTCTTTTTGCTTTGGAAAATTCATCATTCAGATGAAAGTTTGTGCCAAAACAATAATTGTTGTACCAAAGCAACAGATCCATGTTTTGTTGGAAAACCTTGTGTGTAACTTGAAAATCTGCAGTCCTGGATGTGTTGAGGGTAATATCTTGTTAAGTGTAATGGTAATAGTCACGGGCAGATTTCATTGTTTTACAAAGCAAAACAAAAAACTTTTTATCTGTTAATGTTTCAAACACCTGCACAACATCCAAGACTGACAGACTCAGCTTCACAACAGTACCTTCTTTATTCTGACAAATTTACTAACGAAAATGATTGAGTATAGACAGTTTACTAAATTTAATTTCAATATTTATATTGTTTAAATAAAAATGTTCCCTTCTAAAATCCACACAGAAAAAAAAATCTTAATCTGTTCCTTTACATTAAAACACTTTGTTGGCATTTTGGCTGCCAACTCACACACAAACACACTGATAGTCCATCACACTGTTACAGGTATCCCTAGTTTATGTTCTCACCAAATCTAGTTGCAATGCTTCAACAACTCTTTGTGCTCTGGAGCCCAGATTTCGAGTACAAAGATAATTTATGTTCCAGTTTTGCAAAGTAAAAATGTTGGTTATTGTGCTTGAAGAGAAACATGAACTACTTCTGATGTCATTCCAGCTCACCAGCCAACTACCCTCAGGACAACGCTGGAAGGTAACACAACTCACTAAAACAAAGTCACTTTAAATAATGCTGGATATGTTTTAATTTTTTATTTTTGCTCATATGGGTTTTCAATCACTTTTTCTCTTTGATATCAGTTCAGCAGTTTTTTAAAGGCGTGCAACTTTGTATACTATATTATAAATGTTTTTAAAAACATGATTTATTTTTGTACTCTAGTTGTTAATTACTTGGATAATAAAAATGTTGATGACATTTTGATTTATTTCTCTTTCCGTCCGTTTCCTAAACAGCCGTTCTCCTCATCGTGAGAAGAAGAAGAAGGTGAAGAAGTACTGGGATGTTCCTCCACCTGGTTTTGAACACATTACTCCCATGCAGTACAAAGCCATGCAAGGTTACTTGTTTTTCTCAGTTTGTTTATGTCCGAGTAAAATTTAGTCCTTCTGTTGTCCTTTGGTCCAAATGAACTCAGGCCATCTGAGACCTTGGGGTTTTGACTCAGCAACAGCAGGAGGGTTAATGTTAACCTTCCTGGTTTAGTCGGTTATCTTTCTCACAGCTCGTTTGTAATGTGGATATGATGATGCAGTAATGTACGGGTGAAAAATATGTTTTTTGATAATTAGTTGTTTTTGGATTATTTTTCTCCAGCTGCAGGACAAATCCCAGCCACAGCCCTCCTGCCGACCATGACTCCAGATGGCCTGTCTGTCACTCCCACCCCTGTACCTGTGGTGGGCAGCCAGATGACCCGGCAGGCCCGCCGTCTCTACGTTGGCAACATCCCCTTTGGTATCACAGAGGTGAGAAATAAAGCATTTGCTCTAAAGTTCTAAACATCTTTAAGTGACTTTCATGTCTGTGTTTTGTAAAGTAAAACATGTTTTAATGTTAAAAAAAAAAAAACTTTTCTCGTTCCTCTCTTCTGTGTAGGAGTCAATGATGGACTTCTTCAACGCTCAGATGCGTTTAGGGGGTCTTACTCAGGCCCCTGGGAACCCTGTCCTTGCAGTGCAGATTAACCAGGATAAGAACTTTGCCTTCCTTGAGGTTCAGAAATAGCTTTGAAAAATCATTATGATCGTATGTTTACACATATTATTTGTTAAAAGTGTAAACATCTGTAACTGTTTCTGTGCAGTTCCGTTCAGTGGACGAAACGACTCAGGCCATGGCCTTTGATGGCATCATCTTTCAAGGCCAGAGCCTGAAAATTCGTCGTCCACACGATTATCAGCCCTTGCCTGGCATGAGCGAGAATCCTAGTGTCTATGTGCCTGGTACACAGACAATTAATGGTTTTTATCCTTAAATACTTGTATCAAAATTTTATAAATAATTGTTCACTTAATATCAACGTGAGCTTCGCTTTTCATGTTTAACACTCCTTATCTTTGCACGTTCTGTAGGTGTGGTGTCCACAGTGGTGCCAGACTCTGCTCACAAACTCTTCATTGGTGGTTTGCCCAACTACCTAAATGATGACCAGGTCAGTGTTTTTGTCTCTAAACCCAGCTATAGCTCAGGTACCACGAAATAAAGATTTTCATTAATATAAAGCTGTCTTTTGAAAAGTAAATACATTACTCTGGCTTCTGATGAATAAAACCCTGGTTCATTTTTATTTCTTTGTATTTAATCACTAAAAAAGGAACTACTTATCGTATTATCCTTCTGTGCCTGTTGTGAGGAAAAACCTGTCCTTTTGTCGTTCAGGTGAAGGAGCTGTTGACATCATTTGGCCCTCTGAAGGCCTTTAACCTGGTGAAAGACAGCGCCACAGGCCTCTCTAAAGGATACGCCTTCTGTGAATATGTTGATGTCAACCTCAACGATCAGGTAACGGGTCCCAGATGAGAATAATATGCGTCTTTTGTACAAGTTTTATGGAAGCGGGTAACTCAGTTTTCATGTCTTCACAGGCTATTGCTGGACTGAACGGCATGCAGCTTGGAGACAAGAAGCTCCTGGTGCAGAGAGCTAGTGTTGGATCCAAGAATGCCACTCTGGTGAGCTTCCAGCAGCTAGACAGTTGACAGTGGGATGGTGGGAGGCTCATAGTTGGCTCCAAAATGGGCTAAAACAGATTGCCGAATAGATCTGCAGCTCTTCATATGTTCACACTTTTAATAAGCACAAATGTACATCTAAGTTATTTGTGCAAAAAAAAAAAAAGATTCAACAAACTCATGGGGTGCTGAAGGTAAAAGCTGTGTTCATGTTTATGGTGGCACAAGTGTCATACAGCTCCAGTGTGGCACTGGTTTAGTTCTGGTGTTAATTATTTAAGCAAGCAACAACATTAGAGCAGATTTTTCTTTATGTTCTTATAATGTTCAGATTGTAGCAGATATTTTCTAGATTAACAGGAACCGTAAGCATTAGATGAAATAATATGTAGGTGGCAACATATTTCTGTTTCTTCCAAATGTCCTTACTTTATAAATGAAAATCAATTTAAACAATCTTATACTTGGTAGAAGATGTCAAGCTGTTTAGAATTGTGATTTGATAAATTATGTAAAACAACATTTATGAGCTTAGTACTTGAGTATTATGATACAACGCTTTGAGTGTTGTAGATGGGGGGGGGGTCGTCTTACACTTGAAGCAAACTACGATTTGTAATGATCGTCTCTTCTTCCAGACAACTATCAACCAGACCCCAGTGACGCTGCAGGTACCAGGTCTGAACAGCTCTGTCACCCAGATGGGTGGCCTGCCCACTGAGGTGCTGTGTCTGATGAACATGGTGGCCCCCGAAGAGCTTCTGGACGATGAAGAGTACGAGGAGATCGTAGAAGATGTCAGGGAGGAGTGCGGCAAGTACGGCCAAGTGAAGAGCATCGAGATCCCTCGTCCTGTGGACGGCCTGGAAATCCCCGGGACTGGCAAGGTAGGCAACGTTGAACATCAAAAGATCTTGTAATTTTTTTTTTTTAACATTCGTTGCTCGTCGGATTATAACCTTTTGATTTTTATTCCACTCGTACAGATTTTCGTGGAGTTCACTTCGGTCTTCGACTCCCAGAAGGCCATGCAGGGGCTAACAGGAAGAAAGTTTGCCAACAGGGTGGTGGTAACGAAGTACTGCGATCCAGATGCTTATCATCGCCGGGACTTCTGGTAGAGGGGCCACAGGGGGAGGGGGGAGGGGGGGACTAGGGGAGGGAGTGTAAATGTACTACCCATTTTCAAATTAGCCCTTGGAGTGATTTGGCTGAGCAACATTTCAAGTCGATCTTGGACTGTTAATCATTTGACAAATGGCTTCAGTGACACCCAGTTTATTCTTTGAGGTCTACGTGGCATGTTCAAACCAGTAGTTGTGACTGGAGACAGGAGGAGCTGTAATGGTGGGCTAGGCCTGGATTCTAGTTGAGTAGTTGGGTGGGCTGGGAAGTTGAGGGTTTTTGAGAAACGTGTGCAACAATAAGGCGAGGGGAGGGGGTGGACTTTTGTACTTTGTGAGAGAGGGATGTTTAATTTTTGGTTGGGGAGGGGGAGCCACACTTCAAATGTTTGTATTTAAATGGAGTCAGCCCGGTGTCAGTAAACCAGACAGAAACTGCAGTCTGGAACTATTGGATATTCTGATGGAGAAGGTTGGAGGAAAACCAGTTTGTGAAAGGAGATGAAGGGGATTGTTGTTAACGATGTAGATACAGTAGCTGTAACATCCACCTCAGTTTTTTCAACATCACCAGAGAGGCAAGAGGAGACTTCTTGTTTAGTTTTTTTATTCTTGAATTTTGATCAAACTGCTGCCCCTCCAGCATGATTGTCGTCTGATTGGACTCAGTCTGAATGTCAGCTGTAATTGTTTTGATACTGTGTAGTTTTGTTGGTTTTCAGCTGTAAAATCACCGTTTTCAAAGATACAAAATAACACGACTTGCTGAAAACATACTTTTTAAAAAAAAAATTTCTTACGTAATTTGCGGACAGCTCTTAAAAGGTGAGAAATTTAAAAGCCTCAGCGGTTTGGCCCCGATTCAGTCCCAAGATAAGAAAAAGAACGATTAAGACAGAAAAACACATTTGAAAATATTCTCATTCTTACCAACAAGCCTTAATGTGAAAACTATCAGTTAGATTGGGAAAGAAAATTTGGCTCGGCCCTCTCGGTGATGTTTGTCTGGTCATATTTGTCACATCTTGTACCTTTTTCTTGTTTTCAGCTTAATCTTGGATAGAAAATGTGTTGAATCCAAGTCTTTGTGCAACGTCTCACCTCTTTGACAAGACCAAATAAACGTGATTATTAACGCACGACTTCTTGTTGGACTGCAGACTCGAACCAAATTCAAACATGTTTTTCCCCCTTGCTGCCAGATTTGTTTAAAAAATAAATATTAGTTGGTTTGTTCACAAAAAGAATTAGTAAACAGATTTAGTAACAAAACTTCATGTATTTGGTCCTTGTAGATAAAAAACAATCCAGTTTCAGTAGAATATTTTGTTTTCAGCTTCTCTTCCTGTAAATCTGAGGTCAGGAGGTTACTGTCCTAATGTGCTCAAACAAATATGCATTTCATCTCCCCGATTGTCCACCTGATCGCACTATGGGCTCAACATTATGCTTTCATTTAATATTCACGGTTGCTTAAGAAGGCGCTGCAGTGTCAGAAATAACACTTTTGAAATGTTACTCCTTTCTTTCTGAAAATCTTGTATTTCAGTGTCTCTGTCATTTAATTTTTCTTTTTTTTTTTTTTTTTTTTCTGGAAAAATGTGATTTCTTAAAACGATTTAAACCTAAAAGCCACATCTAGTTTGTACAAGCAGTCTTTTGTTTGTCCAATTTGTTTCCAAATGTTGATTAAAAACTGAATTTACACGACTGCTGCGCTCTTCGTGCTTCCTCACATCTGTTCAGCTCTGCAGCGGTTTATGGAGCCGACGGCGGCGTCCTTCACTCAACCTTGTATTTATTAGTTATAGCCAAAGGATGGAGGGTTTTTTTTTCTACTCACAAAAAGTACTTTGCTGTTCTGTGATGTGGTGCATCAGTCATTTTAACATTCTTTTTTTAAAACGAGTAAATGGGACTAGTCCAATTCAACTTTTTACAGTGTGCAGTAAAAACTAAATATTTTTTGGATGCTGCTTACTGAGTATTTTAGCAGAATACTAAAATATAACTTTAAAAAAAATACTCAAAAGTTACATGTAATGGAGCAAATATTTGACAAATATATAGTCATACAGGTAGAAAAACTTTATTGTTTAATATAAAAGTTTTTTTTCTTTTAAATTACTTCAATTTGACAAATTTTGTGTCCTAATTAGGAGAATAATGCATAAACTCAAGTGCATCAAAAGGGATGGGTTAAATAACTGGTTTCCATAGTTGGAATGGGGACCCCACTGTGGGCCACTAAACAATAAGTAAGGGTCTAAGTTGATCTTTTGTAATCAGAAATTAAATAATTCCTAATTACAGATTTTTGGCCAACTTTGAGAAACAAAGAATTGAATTGAAAATGTTTAGGAACCGCCGGCTTCGATTAGCATGAGCCTGTTCAGTTAGTTTCTGTACATGTCAAACATCGACTGCCTTAGAGTTAAAACTGAAATAAATCAGTTGACTGCAGCCATTTTTAATAAAAACCTTCATGACGTTCAGACCAGTCACAATGTGCGCTCTAGGGAGAACTACCAGTAGTTCAAACAAGACAAGGCACGAAATGGCGTCTCCGCAGGGGGTGTGAGTAGAAAAATATGCAGTTTTCATCACCCACATCAGAGACGGTCTTGACTTCTTATGGACTCAACCAGGCTTTAGAGACGGGGTGAGAAGTTTTGGTTATCCAGGACCAGGAGAGACTCGGAGTAGAGCTGCTGCTGCTCCTCCTCAAGAGGAACCAGAGGTGGTGCTGCCCGAGGTGTTCTGGTCCATGTCCAACTGGAAGGAAGACGCTGGAGAGACTGAGTCTTTGCTGGCCTGGGAACAGCTTGGAATCCTCCCGGTTGGAGCTGGAGGAGACGTCTGGGCCTCTCTGCTCAAGCTGCTGCTCCCCACCCCCAACAACCTGAGGAACAATAAAACAGGTTAGATTGATGAATGATAAAGTTTTTTTTTTAAAATTGGCTTTTGGTCACAGTAACTTGATTTTTTAAAATTTAGTTTTGCATAAATATGTTTTCATCTAATTCAGGTTGAACTCTGTTCAGTTTGGGTCTGCTGCAACACCTGTCTCTAGTGGGTCTAATTTAGAAGCATGTTGTCAATCAGCAGTCATGAACGCCATATAAAGGCTACGCAGACATGTTCAGCAGGGAGCTCCTGTTCAACGGAGTGAAGCAGCGACGGAGTAGCAGCAGCTTGTTCTTTACCTCCATCTTCATCGGCATGGCTGCACTCCACTGAAGCCAGAGGCAGGGCCTGCGATGCAGCTCTGCACGCTCGCTCCCTCAGGACTGAGCTGAAATATCAGCACTTTATTTCTGTTTTTATTATTCATGCAGCTGAAACTATACTCTCCTGAGGAGCCATGTACAACAGGAGGCAGGTCTGTCCATCATGAGAGGTTTTTTCTGTTATCAGCAGCCCTGCCTCGGCCTGATGCTGCAGTGAGGACTGGAGGAACTTTCATCTCCCTCTGGTGGTGGAGGTTGGACTCGGGTCATTGAAATTCTGGGCAGAGCCTCTCCCATTGATCTCCATTCAAGAAAGATAGAACGCTGCAGCAGCAGGAGAGCAACACTGTGCAGCGTGCATCCTGCTCCTGTTCCAACACAGAGGAGCAAACTGAAGGAACCTTTCTGCACGATGAGCTGCGGACAGACGAGATGCTGCGTCTGTTACAAGAAAGGTGCCAAAATAAGACAGACTTCAAAGTTGGAACTAGGTGCATTTCCTGCATAAATGCAGGGTGAATGCTTATTATTACTGAAGAACTTGCTGAAAAACAGCTGAAGTTAGCTAAAAACATGCTGAAATGGAAAAAGCCCAAGTTAGAAAAAAAAGAAAGAAATTTGCTGAATTAAGTTTAAATATGCAGACATGAGCACATAAATTAAGAAATTAGCTAAAAAAGTTGAAATTATCAAAACATGGTTGAAAAGTAGCTGAAAAAGCAGAAAGAAGCTTAAACTACCAGAAGGAAGTGGAAGGAGCTGAAATGAATTGAAAAAGCTAGATTTAGCGCAACAACAGCTAAAACGTAGCTGAAATATCAGAAAAAGCTGAAACTACCAGAAAAAAGCTGAAAGGAGCATAACAAGCTGGAATTAGCAGAAACGAGTCAATTATGCTTAAAGTAGCAGAAATTACCATGAAAAACTAGAATTTAACCAAAACCAGCTGAAATTAGATTTTAAAATGCAACACACACAAAAAAAGCTTATGAAGTAGAACAAGCTTAAATTAGCAGAAGAAAGCAGCCTTAGCAGAAAGAAGCAAAAAGGATAAAAAAAAAAAACGGCTAAAAAAACCCAGCTGAAAGTAGCTAAGAATGTTTAAATTTGCTCAAGGAAGCTGAAAGTAGCTGAAGCCAAACAAAATATGAAAGGAGGGTAAAAAGTTGTAAACAGATCTAAAGATTTGAAGGATGGAAAATGAGCTCAATTCATTTCCTATGAGAGAAAAAGTGGCAGAAAAAGCCAAATATTTCAACAAACTAACACAAATACCAAAAGTCATAGCACCCTTCTGAACGAGCTGAACAGCACTCAAGGTTTATCAAACAGTGTTTTTTTTTGTTTTTTTTAATTATGGATGTTTTTGACGTTTTGTCTTGTTTAGTGTTCAAACGACTCGGCATCATCACCTTTTATGCAGGTCAGTATGAAAATAATAATGCAGTGACTAAAATACTAACAGCATCATACTCGTATAGTGATCTGCAAGTATTCTGTGTATTTCTTTTAGATACAATTTTGCATCAATGTGTGGTTCGTAACGACCTCAGGAACAAACATTTCTAATGCTCAACAGGGTTCAATCCGGTCATCTGGACTGTGCGCTGCGTACGACTGGAGTTGGAGTTCGTGATTCTCCAAAGAAGCTTCGATCAGCACAACAAAATATATCAAACAATGAACTCAGGCTAACTTTTAAACAACAAACTGTTAAGAATAAAATAACCTTTGATTATAAATTATAGAAAACAGAACATATAAATATGTA